GGGCTGTTTGGAAAGAGTTCTGCTTCCTACACTAAGCCTAATGGTGAGCATCGCTCCACCGGGTGGGTACGTATGCTGCAGGCTCCGCTTTCTGGCATCGCCATCTGTGAGAGGGCGGTGGATGAGCGCCAGTTAGCAAGGAGAATTCCAGAACCAGGGAGCTGCTGTCTATGCAAAATCCCACTCGGGAACCCTCTGAAGGGGGAATTGACAGGGCAAACTCTGCTTTGCCACTTCTTATTTTGGCTCATTGGCATTTCAATGTGCACAGCTCGGCGTCCTGGCCCCGCTCTTGGGCTTTATGGCCTGAAAAGGACCACTTTGGTCCTGGTTTGAGCACCTGTGTAACGCAGGCTGGCTCCAAGGAGCAGTGAGCGTCCAGAGGTAACCAGGCGGGGCGTTCTGTGACGCAGCGCGGCTCCCGCGGCATGGCCCCGGCCACTTCTAATCTGCAGTCGCCTGGGGCTGCTAATGGGATATTCGTGCTCCACCAGCCCCCTCTCTTACTGCCCTTCCCCGTGTTGAAATAAAGCCACTGAGCCAGTGTTGCAGGGGTACCAGTGGCCATCGTCCCGTGGGCTCATCTCCGGAATGGGTGTTGCCGAGTGCACAGTACCTTTCGCTTTCCCCTCACTCGGCAGAGGACGGTTCCTGGGGATTTGGGGGTGGGGGGGTGTCTGCTGGCTGTCTCATGGACGTGCAGGGTTGCTATTTGCAGAACTGATTCTGGTCTGAGTGAACTCTTACCTGCTTGGGAGGCTGCTATGGAGCTTGCAGGGTGGTAAAACGGAATTAAGGGGTTACCTTCATTTTCATCCCTGGCTGTCTGCAGTGCGTGGTACCGGGAGTGTGCGGCAGAGGGGTGGGGAGAAGTATTGGCAGGGAGCAGGGTGCATAGAGTTGAAGTGCGTTTGTAGTTAAGTGCACACATGTGCCACATATGAGCCATCCCACTTTTAGCACAACACCCATTGGGAGCAGGCGGGGGGAGGGAAATAACCCCCCTACGGGAAACCAGCTTCAAAATTTCAGGAGTTAAGTCATTTTAAAAAAAAAATATTTAGGTTTAGAGACACTATCAACGTACAATATAACATGGTTGCGAGCATGAATGAGGTCGCGTATGTGACCCGCCCTGCTTTTAAAGCCATCTTCTCTGAACCAGCTCGCATCAAACCTTGTAAAACAATTTCACAACTGAAATTCCAGCCAGATGTTACAACCGCGGCATTATGCTCCCCCTGGCCCAGGCTCTACTCCGAGATGTTGAATCGTTTTCAAACAGTTTTAAAAACATTCTTCAAGTGCTGGGTCATGAGCCTTCCTCTGGGCAGAACAGCTAGTGCCCGGGAGGAAGTGCAGATATAGTTCTATGGACTTGGCGGGTGAAAATCATCTAGGGGTGAAATGTTGGGACCCGCACCTGCGAAAGGTGAGGGGTGGAGCTGGAGTTAAGCCCAGGTATGGCTGTAGTAAACCTGCTGCAGGGTCAGTGGCACAGAGAAGCTGGAGCTGAAAAACCCCTCCCCAGTGCTGTCCTACCATCTAGAAGTCATAAAAATGCAGGGCATTCCAGGGCATCTTCTGGATGTTAGAGGGGGACAGGGTTTTCTCCCGGGGGGGGGAGGGAGGAGTGGGAAATGCCAAGTGTAGGTGAGAAGAAAAGCATTTAATTCCCCCTACAGTCTCTTCTGCCTCCCTCGCTCGCTCCTGTGCAGTTATTTGTCGTCATTATGCTAGTGCCCAGAGGTGCCAGGCTCCCACAGTGCTGGGAGACAGTCCCTGCCTCAAAGAGTTTGCATTCAAAATAGACAAAGGGTGGGAGAAACATAAACAATCGGGACCCGATTGTGCTAGGTTCTGTACATAGAAACACACATGGTGCATTGTCACCATTTTACAGCTGATGATTGATGTCCGATGGGGAACTGAGGCACAGAGAAATTGTGACTTGCCCAAGGTCACACAGGCAGGCTGTGGCAGACGCAGGAGCTGAACCCAGATCTGAGCCCCCGTCAAGTGCCTTATCCACAAGCCCATCCTTCCTCACCTGTGCAGGGGGTCATGGATGCTGGTCTGTCCTTCTGTGACATTTTAATGAATGGAGACCATAGTTATCCTACCGGCACCGTGAAATGAATGGTGGCAACCATGACACATGGTAGTGCTCACCCGGCATGCCTTTGGAGAGGTTATGGCTGAACCTCTTCCCTTTCCAGGCCAGCCCCAAAAGAGTCCTGTGATTGCAATACTGCGGCTTCTGCGTGCAGCGGATGCATCTGCATGCTCGTATGCTGGTCTTTACACGGCTGCGCCATGGGTCCATGCATGCAATGTGGAAGGGGGTATTACCAGCTTCTGTGGTGCCAGGAATCCCCCACAGAGCCGTGCTGCAGTCCCTCCCAGTGGGGCAGCTATTTGAAACTCTGCAGTCCCGATCCGAATGGTCATGGCCAGTCCAGGGCAGCTGATTCCCTCTGCCCACCTGCTTGGGGAGGGGATGGAAGCAGGGCCGGTGGAGACAGCAGTTTGTCTGGCAGGTGGAGGAGCAGACTCAGCTGCTCCCTTCTTGTGGAGCTCTGTCTCTCCAGTTGCTGCCTAGCAGAGGGCGCTCGCACAGCTGCTGCCTTTTGCTGGGACTGTGCGAGATCAGAGCAGTTGCAAGGAGCCGGGCGCACATACAACATGCCGGGCAGCAAGAGCCACGTGTCCCTCATTAAAAGCTCTCCACCACCCTCTTGGGGAAAAGTCAAGCTCATCAAGCCATGCTGGTGCCCAGCTGCTCAAGGGCACGCTTGTTTTGCTGCTTAAGCAGCAGATTTAAGTTTGCGTGGCACTTAACTGCCCCTCCTCCAAAGAGCCGCGTCCAAGTTGAGCAAGCTGGCAGTCATGCTGAGTGTGGGAGGGGCTGTGTGTTGAGGACAGGTTTCCCGGCTGGTCTCCATCCCAGAAACCAGTCCTGCTGCAGATGCTAATTGCAGCAGGATAATCCCCCCTGCCTGCAATACAGCCAGTGGTGTGCCGTCCTGCAGCGTAGATCAGCTCAAACCACCATGTGGTCGTGTCTGCTAACCATGCGAACAAGCTTTGTAGCTGTAGCCTAGGTTGTGATGGGGTTTGCAGGTGGACGGCAGAACCTGGCTGAATCCTGTTTGTACTGTACGAGACTGTAGCACATCCCTGCATATAGTTTAACAGGGTCCCCTAGCTTCATTGTTCAGGTGGGCCCTTGTGTGGATACTTCAAACTCTGCAGATTGGAATATAGGCATAGCTATGTGGTCAGGGGTGCGATCCGTGACCGGCAGAGACGAGACTGCAGATGTCTCTAGCGTGGATATAGCTATACTGACAAACCGTGCACTCATACAGGTATAGGTGTTTCATTTGGGAGGTGAGGCAGGTTTATTGCACCGGTAGAAAGCTGGTTTCTCTTCCTCCACACTAGGAGCGCTTTGCTGGTACCATAAAGCCCTCCGAATTCAGTTGCCATTGTGTTCCTTCGCTCCCTGGTCATCGTTCCTGTCAGCCCTGCCGTGCTGGGTGTAATTCTGCCTTGTTTCCCGTCCTGGCATTCGCTCTCTCAGTAATATCCATTGCAGGCGTGTCCGTATTTACTAGCCTTTTGGAACCGGGGGTGGCATTGAGCCTTTGTCCCTCCATGTTAACGTGAAGGGCCCTGACTGACCGCCATACAGTAATGTCGCTGTCTTTGGTTTGTGTGCTCACACTTCCTAGATGTCTGTATTAAATATCTCTCTCTCCCCCCACCACCCACACACACACACACAATTCCCAGCTGTCCTGTTCTGCTTGCAAATTCAGGTGAGACACCAGGGTGCAGGTGGCCAAGGGCTAGTGTCCCTGGTTCCTTTCCCACCTCTCGCTTGGGCTGAGCAGGCTGGGGCAGGACTGGGCACCCCGTTAGTGAGCAAAGCTGCACTCGTGAGACTGACCCTGATTCGTGCGTTGCAGGGAGAGATCCTGTTATGTAAACGGAGCCCTCTTGAAGTGGGGTGTGCAGTGTAGAGGTGGAGAACAGTGTGTTGGCCTGTAGGAAACACTGGCTGTCAGTCGGAGCGTAACTCTCCCTGCCTGCAGAGCTGGGTGATGAGTGGATTGGGGAAGGGTAGGTGGTGCTGGGAATTGGACCATGGTCTGCAGCCTCCATGATTGTGGCTGTGGCAGGTGAAGTCTTTATGGCTCAACATCTGCAGCGGTTTGGCCCCCAGAGGTGAAATGGGGACTCTCCGTTTGAGTGATTTGGGTCAAAGCGGAGAAGGGTGGACTCCGGATCGAATAGTCAGAGAGACGCTGCACTCCGCCAATCCACCAGAGAGCAGGCGCGCTCCTTTCAGAATCACGTTCTGGGGCAGATCAGTCCAACCTGTCCCATTTATTACACTTCCTCCTGGGATCTCCTCCTCCTCTCCCACAAGAGGGGTTGGGAGCTTCCAGAAGTGGCCACGTAGGGTTTGCCTGTGCTCCGTGCTAAGCCCAGGACACTGGGACCTGGGCTTGCGGACTCGGGGTTTCCAAGGCTGTGGTGAGTTTGTCTGCACTGCATTGGTAACCTGCGTTTACAGTGGTTGGATCTGGTCTCACAGCTGTGCTAACGTGTCCATACTGCAGTGTGCAGATGCAGCTGGCCCTGCTTCCACATTGCAAAATGCCAGGGCTTCGACCCAAATCACAGTGGCTCTGACCCACCCCGGAGCAGGGTCCTAAGATCCAGTGCTTGCCGACCTGAGTCGGGTTGATTGATGTGTGGATGGAAGTACCCATCCAGCCCTTAGCAAGGAGGAGGGGAAGGGTAGCTCACCTGGATGCACTGTGGGGAAGAGAAGGGTCATTGGGAAGATCTAAGAGGGACTGTGGCCCAGGTAGGGAGAGAACTCAACCAGTGCCAGCATGTGGCCTGCCAACCTCAATGGACAGTGGAGAGAACGCTCTAGCAACCCTTGGTGTTGCGTATTAACGCCTCTGTTCTATTTTTCACAGAACATACGACTCCAGCCAAAGTGGTGAGGGCTGCAAACCCCAGGCAGCGGAAAGGAAGCAAGGTATGTCTGCCTCTACATCTTCCTGTTTCTGGTGGTGTATTACCTGGCTCTCGCTGCTTGTCTTCTGTATTGCAGCAGCACCTAGAGGCCCAGCCGAGATTCAACCCGGTGTGCTGGGTGCTGTATGTACACCTAAGGAGATGCGGTCCCTGCCCCCAAGAGCTTATAGCCGCAACAGACAAGACAGGCAAAGCATTGGAGGGGAAGTGACTTGCCCAAGGTCACCTGACAGCTCAGTGGCAGAGCTGGTACCAGAACCCAGGTCTCGTGGACTCCCAGGTCACTGCTCTGTCCCCTAGACCACGCTGCCTCCCATGCCACTTAAGGCAGTATTTTTGTTACCTCACCGGGGAGCAAACTTGGCTCTCTGAGTGGTGCATGCATTTCCACTCCATAGCAGCTGGGGATGACTCTTCACCCACGCACCCCGCAGCTGTGCACAGCCTCCGGTTGTGGGTGGCCGCTGGAAACTTTAGCGTGCCTCCCACAGCGTGTGGTGCTTCCGTGGCAGTGCCCAGCTCTGGCCGTGGCAGTGCTGCAGAGGGCACCTTTCTCCCAGCTGCTGTGTTTACAAGAGCTTGCGACGCTGGGGTTGTCAGTCCTGCTCGGCACCTGCCTAGCCCCTGTCGTCAGAGCATCTCCTAGGGCTCTCCCACAGCGGAGCTTCTCAGCACCCGGAGAGGCAGGGTTCGTGCCCGTCTTGTGCCTCGATGCCACAGTGACGGGAACAACTTAAATAGGTGCCCTCCGCCCACCTGTGTGTTGGGTGCAATGTCTGCCTGCCTCCCGGGGGTGGGTGAGAGCCCACATGCATGTGCGGATGGGTCGATTTCGGTGATGTGGATGGACGATGCACAGTGCCGTGTGGGTGCCTAGAACAACCACCGTTCCCCACCCGCTTGGACCTGCTCCATGCTGTCCGTCGGAGACGGTTGTTTCTTCTTCGAGAGCTTGCTCATGTCCGTTCCATATTAGGTGTGTGTGCTCGCCGCATGCACCGGTGCTGGAAGGTTTTTCCTTAGCAGTATCTGTAGGGGACCGGCTCTGGCGCCCCCTGGAGTGGTGCCCGCATGGCACGGTATACGGGGGCGCCACCGGCTCCCCCCCACCCTCAGTTCCTTCTTGCCGTCAGTGACGGTGTGGGAATGTCTGCTGCTTCGGCTAGCTTTTGCTTAGTTCAGTGTGTCTCACGAGCGTTTCTCTGTAAAATAGTTGTGTATAGTTCAGTATTCACCCTTCGTATTCGTTCTCGTTCGTTGGTCCTGGATGGGACTCAGCCTAGGGACGGGGCATTAGGGTGACCAGACAGCAAGTGTGAAAAATCGGGACGGGGGTGGGGGGGTAATAGAGGCCTATATAAGAAGAAAAAGACCCCAAAATCAGGACTCTCTCTCTAAAATCAGGACATCTGGTCACCCTATGGGGCATGCCCCCCATCATCTGGCTTTAAACCATGCGATAGTTGTAAACGGCCCATGCCCATCAGCGACCCGCACATCGGTTGTTTTAAGGTGTCTAGGAGAAGGACACACAAGTGACAACTGTCACATCTGTAAGTCGTTCAAACCCAGAACGAAAAAAGAGAGTCCTCCATCTCACAACATTCCTGATGGAGTTGGCGTTGACCCCGGCACTGGAGCAGAAGTCCGAGTCGGCCCCAAGCACTGCAGTGTTGGTACGGAGCGCCCCACCTGTGCCATCTACGAGTTGGCGCCGATCCCCGGCCCTGGCCAAGAAGCCCAAGAGGTCTGCGAGGGGAAGATCTCCTACTTCCCATAAGGGGAAGGAGAGGGCCGGAGGAGAGCCCGGACCCGTGCTGGGCAGCTCGACACCTCCGTCAGGGAGTCGGGCCCCAGCTCATGTCGAGACCCTCCCTAACTAAGCTTGCCACAATGGACAGTGACGAGGGCCTCCGTCAACTCGAAGTCCTGTCGATGCCTGAGATCCTTCAGGCAGGGCAGGAGATCCTGACGCTACCGGTGCTGAGCTAAGGTGGCACAGCCCTTGGGTAGCAGGTTTGAAATCCCCCTGGCCTGGGAGCGGGCTGGGATCTGCTGAATGCAGGAATGGGCTGTTGAAGTGAACGGTGTGGTGGCAGAGAAGCTGGACCATGCCACTCAACTCTCCTTTTAAACCAACCAGCCAATACAAATCCTCTGTTGGGTGAGAATACGGAAAATTGCCCTGCAAGCAGAATAGCATAACGTCTTGTGTGACTCTCCCCCTGAGAACGCCGGGGGCCTGCACTCATCACTGACTGCTCCTCTCCAAAGGGCAACTGTGCTTTCCCCAGAGCATGATCTTCTGGTCCTTTTTCTTGAGCGTTAATGTTCCTCCCCTGCTTGTTTGGGAAGCGACATCCACGCTCTGCCTTTTTTCCCCTGGAAACACCTCTCGTTCTCAAAGCATCAGGTTTGAAAACTAGATCAAGTGGAGACACCAGTAAATGGTGTTATAACTGCCCTGCAAACCAAACAGCTTCACCGGCAAGCTCCAGCCTCACAAGGGAAGGCGCATGAATGGTGTGTTGTGAGTGGCCTTGGAGGCTGCTCTGGGTGGATTGAATGGAAACCAGATGCCTGTTCTTGCCGTCAGTTGAGCACAGAGCTCTGGCAGCACTTGATTGCAGTTGTGCTGTTTAATGTGAGTGAGCCCTGCAGTCATCTGCCCCCAGGTGGCATGAGCTTTTAGAATGAATTTGAAAGTGAATTTGGTATCCCAGCTGGATTAACAGCACCGAAGGCCCTGGTGCTCTTTCTGCTCCTCTTTCGGGGGAAACGGGGCTGTGCTGAAACCCCGCGGAGCCTTGCAGTTGTGGTCTGACCTCACCAGGCGGCACCAGGATCATAGAATCCTAGAATATCAGGGTTGGAAGGGACCTCGGGAGATCTAGTCCAACCCCCTGCAGGACCAATCCCCAACTAAATCATCCTACCAAGTACCATCCCTTATTTTTGCCCCAGATCCCTAAATGGCCCCCCTCAATGATTGAACTCACAACCCTGGGTTTAGTAGGCCAATGCGCAAACCACTGAGCTGTCCCTCCCCCCGGGATGTAGGAGTTCAGCTCCAGACATTTGATTGTAGAAATAGAGGGGATTTAGAGACTGACAATGAAATTGCCTGGGGGTCTGGAAAGAGCCTAGGGAAGAGATGATTGTTCCACGCAGTAGTGAGGTGTATAAAGAGGGGTATCAGCAGCTGCTATTTCTGTTTTTACTACCCCGCTCATCTGGGTGAGCTGTTGGCCACGGGGCTTGAACCTGACCCTTGTGGCTCTGAACACGTGACCGTCTTTTGTCTGAGCTGAAAGACCCAGAGCTAAAAGCAGGGTCATCAAACTGTCTGTGGCCAGCTAGCAGTCGGAAGGTACAGTGAACCGCCCAGAGTGGGTCTGGGGTACGCTCATCCGTCACTTAAGAATAGGGGGATATTCAACTAAATCCAAGGCAGTACATTTAAAACCACCGGGCATTAATGTTTTACGCTGTGTATAACTCGCCCATGAAACTTGTTGCCCATCAGGTCGTTGAGATCAAGCGCTTAACAGAATTTTAAAGAGGGTGACACTTCATGTGGATAATAATTATCCTGTCTAAGAAGCGTGGATTTTAAGGGCTATATACCCTGAGGCTTCGGGGCATAAACCAACCTCGGATCCCCCTGAGGTAGGCAGCAACCGCTCCTTTAGGCATGTTAGTCCATAGGTGTCCACGAGGATGCTTCTTGTCTCTTTCTCTGAAGCATCTGGTACTGGATGCTGTTGGATGGGGTGAGAGGCTGTCAGTCCGATCCTCTAGCCCAGGCCCTGTGCTCTGGAAGGGGGAGAAGGGATATTGGCCTATTGAATGCGAGGAAGCAGCCCTTCAGAACCAGCGCTTGAGATCACTGTACTAACGAGATCTCTCTGTTTTTTGAATAAAGGTGGGTGACTTTGGTGATGCCACGAACTGGCCGACCCCTGGAGAAATAGCCCACAAGAGCATCCAGGTAAGAAGCACGACCCTGCAAACAAAACACTCTACCACGCGGCAGCATCCGAGCTTTCCCTGGCGAACGAGCGATGTCCCCTCTTCTCTCTGGGGGCAGAGAACTCTAGAAAAGTTGACCACTCAAGACCAAGACGTCCTGTGGGCTTTTCCTTTGGAAGCGAGGTCTCCTAAGGGCTTCTCTGTCCCTAAAACAGCTGAAATAGACACTGTCAGCTGAAATCTTCCTTTATCACATTTCAGTGCCTATTTTACCAATAACACCACAGATTATTATAGCAGGGTTTGGAAAAGTTACCTGAGACCTGCTAGTTGATGGACTAGTCCTGCTAGCCACAGTGGACAGAGCTAGGCTGCTACTCCCCGGAATGCAAGCAATAAACAGCTGTGTACTGTTTGTGTATCTTTCTTAACTGTCGTCCTCTGGGCAGATTCTAATGCCTATACAATGCAAGTTTTTGTGTGAGTTGCTTTCTTTGTTCCCTTCGTTTTTCTTTTGTCACAACAGGCCAGTGTATATTTCCCTGTGCTGTTTTCAGTGTCTGTTTTCCTCTTTGCGCTCTCACTCTCTGGTTCTTCTTCATACTGTTCTCTACCACCTGCCCCATAATCCTTCAGCTCCTGCTCTGCTTCCCTTCTATCTCCACCCCCGTTAAGTCTCTGTGTACTCCACTCACCTTTAATGGATCCCCTCTGCCTCCCTTATACTCCCTCTGGTTCTTGACAAATTTGGCAGCCTCCCAGTAACCAGAGAACTAAATGTACTAAAAGGCCCAGCTGCCCTTAGGCAGCCCTCAAGCCCAACCTCTCTCACCAGCTCTTGCTTAGCTTCCCACCAAGGTGATGCCTCTGGACCCTGCTTGGGGCATGGTCTATCATTTGTAGTCTCCTGCTAGTGGGTTCCTGAGTTTGAAGCCCCCTCTGCTTACTGGAGAGGAGCGGTGTTGTGTGCTAAATTTAGCCTCCTTTCTTATAAAGACCTTTTGCCCAGGGAAAAAGCACTGGTACATGTCTCAGCTGCTCATTGCTTTTCCCAGCAGCAACATGAAATTGGCCGTTATTGGCCCTTTCCTTGTAACCCGGGGGGGGGGGAGGTTCTGAATTGTTGCCATGAAATTGACCCAAGCACTTATTCATTTCAGGCTGCTGCTGTTGAGCAAAGCTCTGAGCAGCAGTGGTGGTGCTGAGGCTGCGGGCAGACTCACCAAGATGGCATTGCATCAGGTTTATGCTAGAGTGATGTTTAAAGGTGATCCCTGCAACCGTAAGAGCTAGAATCTCCTCTTAAAAATAAATAGCTAAAGCATAGATCATGCAGCTCTTGTTTCACTTACTTTCCTAGGTGGTTTTGCCTTCCAGTTCTGGAGGCTGCAGTGTTTGGGTTGGAAGAGCAGGGGAATGGATATTTTAAACCTCCGTTCGTCAGAACTGCAAACAAAACACGAGCCTGGGTGTGTTGCTTAGGTTGGGTAAAAGATTGCTTTTACAAGTCCATCCTCAAATCTGAACCATGGATTGTCCCTTTAATAATAATAAAAAGCTAAAGGAGCAGGTTGAGCAGTCAGTGAGGAACATGCTGTGCAAAGTGTGAGTTGGAAGCACTTTCATCTACCCACTGAGAAGACACTTGGCTGTTCAGAATACCCTAACTCAGCACAATTACAGTGACCTTTGTGCCTGGGGGGATGGATGCTGCTTTATAAACCCGACCTCCCAACGTACCAGGCTCCTGCAGCCTTCTCAAGCAAGGGAGGAATGAAGCCGGATGCCCTCAGCTTGTGCGGCTGTTCTGAAGTTGGTATCACAACATGCTGCTTCCTGAAGTGGAGCTGAGGTGGCATCTCTCCTCTAGCCCAGCTCCTCTTTCAGCCTGGAGTTCCTCCCTGACCCCCCAATTCTGCCCTGTTGTCCTCTAGAATTAACCCTTGAGCTGAAAGTGTTTGTTTGTTTTTCTTCCTGTGTTCCCTCTGCCCACTACTCTCAGAAACAGAGAGAGATGGGGACCTTTGCAGGCCAGAAGGATGTGGTCCGGTTGTGAAGCCGGTGACCTCATGCTGGTTAAAACGGTACTTTCATGATTGCCTTAACCAGCCCCCTCGGCGGTGTAGCAGCACAGATATTTCTTCTGCTGGGAGAAGGGCCTGACCAGAGCTCCCCGCAAAGCTTGTGTCTAGCCACTGGAGCTGCCAGTGTGCCAGGATGGCTCACGCCCTCCAGGTTGCTCCCTAGCTGTAATCCACGTATGTTCTCCATGTGTTAGCGCGTGTTGGACGGTATGTTATGGGGGAGAGCCCCTCTGTGCACTGCTCATCTCGGAGGCAGGAGGCCCCAGGGGAATCTCAGCCAAGAGCATTCCTCGGTGTTTTCTGTGTGTGTGTGTGGGGGGGGGGGGGGGTGTCAGAGCTGGAGTTCAGGTCATGGCCTTGTGGGCACTGCCTCTCTCCTGCTGTAGCGCTGGAAGCTCCAGCTGAGCGACTCTTTGGGGTGCTGGGCATCGGCTCAGGAGGCAGCCAGGAATAGCTTGCTGTGGCCCCGGGTGCGGAGGATTTCCTTTTAGGGATTCCCTGCATGTTGGGCTCCCTCGCTCAGCGGTGCTATTCTGGGACGGGGAGCCTGGATCCTGTTCTGAACCCTGGGCGCAGTGAGTTGGGCAGGGAAGTTCAGTAAGCTGGATCTCTGGTGCAGGGGTCGAGTTACCCAGGTGAAAGCGGAGAGCTCCTGGCTGAGCAGCGGAACGGCCCATGGCTTGGTGCCTGCTAACGCTGGCCCTCATGAGGGGCATGGCCCCGTGCTGCTGCAGCCCAGATGCAGGAGCTGTCAAAGCTGTTCTATTTTTGGGCACTTTCCTTTCAGCCTTAGTTTCCTGGCCATGCAATAGCTGCTGTCAGTCAGTGCCCCATTGCTACCCAGCTTCTCCCCTCTGTGGTGCGAATCTTTACCAGACCCAGCATCCTAATGCAACAGACACCTGTGAGCATCCCTTATGTCCACTCCCTGATTTTAGGAATCCTCTCCCCACTGTTGCTCCCCCTCCAGATGAACTCTTGTCGGTACCGTGCCCAAGTGTGCACTGGGGGTGACGAGAGAGCATGCAAAGCTCACTCCGACTTGTCTTCAAGCCCTTGCTAGCTGAGCTGCTCTTTACCGGGGCCTGTCGTCTCCCCAGGGTGAGATGCTGGGATCCCATCCCCAGACTAGTAACTGTCCTTCCCGCTTCCCCTCTGCGGGGCTAGATGGGCATGGCTCTGGCAGGTGGATCTGACCAGCTCTGCGTTGTCTGTCCTGAGCCCGCTCCCACCATCCTTTGCCTCACCTGCCTGGCTCTTGTCTCCAGCAGCCACCCAAACCCCAGCCCCTCCGGAAGCTGCCCCTCAAGAAAGATATGAAAGAACAGGAGAAAGGGGATGGGAGCGATGGCAAAGAGAACCTGAAAACCAAATCAGATGAGTCTGGGGAGGAGAAGAACGGGGACGACGACAACCAGAAGTTGGCCCAGAAGAAGAAAGGTGAGAATGGGAGAGGGGTGGGTGAGATTCCAGGGGACTGCTGGAAGATTGGGGATTTGGTTCTGGCCGAGCCAGCTTCCATGATGTCATGACCTTTGATGTCATGCTGCCCTGGCTGTCCCAGTTCTCTGGCCACCTCCAGATGGGCGATTGTAACCTGCGTCCCTCGGGCTGCATCTGAAATCCATTCACAAGCTGGTGCAGAAGCAAGGGGTGGCGCCTGCTAAGCAGAGAGTCCTGCTGTTTCACCATCCGCCCCGGCTGCCCTTCTGGATAGAATTACTGTTGATTTGCTTTTGGCCTATGAAGCCCTAAATGGCCTGGCACCTGCCAACCTGAGACTCCCCTCCTCCTCTCCCCCCACCGATTCCCTCTTCCCTCTCCCCCCCCAGTGCAATCACGGCTACTGAGTGGGGTGCTGGATCCGCATCAGTTGTTTGCAGGGGTATTTCCCATGAGGGTCCCTCTGCTCTGGGACTCGCTCCCCTACTCTGCTTGATCCAAAATAGTCCAGCTCGGTTGATCTCCAGGGGAAGTTTCTCCTTTTCTACAGCCTCTGGGGAGAGGGCATTCGCTCATCACTGCTGTTGGGGATCAGCTGGCGAGCTGGGTCTATTGCTGGGCGACGTTAGAGGCACGTGGAACCTGGTCTAGGCTCTGTTGTAGCTGCTTGTAAACAAGAGATAATGGATAGGCATGGAAGGGAGTGAGGCTGTGTCCCTGGATCTGAGGCGGCAGCCGGTGCTAGGCCTGGAATCTGTGCATCGGCCACCTCTGCCCTCCGGGAGTCTTGGCGTCTCTCCTGTTCCATCTCAGGGTAGCTGGGGTAGCAAAGAGTCAGGGGATGTCTGCACTTACTCTGCTACAGCAACGCAGCTGCATCATTCAGCATGGAGACTCCCTTCTTCCATTGACGCAGTTAATGCACCTCCCTGAGAGAATTCATCCGTCGACCTAGCACTCTCTGCATGGGGACTAGGTCACCAGAGCTGGGTCTCGGGGGAGTGGATTTTTCACAGCCCTGCGAGATGTAGCTATGCTCATGTAAGTTTCCCAGGTTGCAAAAAGCATCAGAACTAGAACATAAGGAGCGTGACCGTGGCGCCCCCATCCCGTGGGTACAGGGACCCCTGGGTTCAGTGCTTTCTTTCGACCTCGATGAGTTCTGGGAAGACCATAGCCTGCCTCTCGGATGGACGGACTGGCCCCATTCATCATCTTTCCTGGGGCGGTGGCTGGCTGTGCGTGGGGAGACATCTGTTGCACTCGACCCCAGGAGATGGCTTTCCAGGGGGAAGCCTGCTTCGATCCCAGGGCGCAACAGGAAATCCGGCCATGAGCGGAGTGCACACAATGGCAAGAACCGTCTCGGTCTCCTCCTTGTGCTTTGAGGTTCACCAGGTCTGGTCTGAGGTCTACGAGTGACTTTGGGGCCATGTGCAAGCGCCGAACGCATGGGGCAGAAAGCTTTGAAGTCCAGTGGTTCGAGCAGCAGCCCCATGGCCCTGAGCTCCCCAGAGCGGCAGAGACTGTGGGGAAGGGAGCAGCACTGGTGAGCCAGAGGGGAGCCACACCCAGCCCTCCTGTGCTATGGTTCTGCAGTCTCCCTGAGGCTGTTTTCAGGGCAGCGGGCCAGCAGGAGCCGCACAGAGGGGGGGGATCTGTGTGAGAGGCCCAAGCGCCTTCTGGCCTGGAATTGGATGCACCCTAGATTTTGTCCCTGCTTGAACATGCAGGGAGAAGGGGAGGGCGGAGGTGGAAGCAAAGATTTGTTCTTCCTTTTAAAGCTGTGTCATGCCCAAATCCTGTCCCTCGTTCAGGCAACAAGCACAAGTGGGTCCCTCTGCAAATAGACATGAAGGCGGAGGCGCCCAGGGACAAAACGGCCTCTCGGAACAACCGGCAGAATGAGCAACACAGGCACCCCTCCAACAACCGCAGCGAATTGAAAGGTGGGTGGGCTGGGCTGGGGGTGGAGGGCAGGGGCAGGCGGTAGCTCCCCCCCCTCTCGGCACCTGGTGGCATGGCTGCTGCAGCACTCCCAGCCTACCTGGGGTTCCCCCGTGGCATTTCCACCAGCCATCGCTGGATCTGAGCGCTTGCAGGGAGCGGCGCCTGGACGCTGCGGTCAAGGGCATGCTACGGACGACGTCCCAAGGGAAGCTCTCGGGACCGTGTCGGTCATGGTACGATAATGCCAGATGGGCCCTTTCCCAGCCACTCTTCTCCAACGCAGGAGAGGGTCGGGGAAAGCCTGGACTCTGAAGCATTTGCCCCCCAAGGTAAAGAGCTCATCTGGGCGCAGAGAAGGGCTTTAGCCGTGTCACTTGTTCAGGGAGCATTACAAAGAGGATGTAATTGCTTTAGATGCTAGACTCCTTCCAGGGCACTCTGGTACCTGCCGAAGGACAGAGGGCAATGGGGGCGCAATCCCCAGGCCTAATTGCACATCGGAGCCAGCAGAGGGCGCTTTCACCTCACCTCTAGTGTCCCCCTTGCTCCCCTGCAGGCTGGCACCCGGATAACAAGCACGAGCGGAACTGGCCTGATCACGACGAAACCTCCAGTGTCAAGAGCGAGGGAGGAGCAGTGCGAGGAGCCTTCCGGGGCCGGGGCAGGGGCAGGGGCCGGGGCCGGAGCCGAGGAAGAGGAGGCACTCGCTGTACGTATAGCCCTGCTCTGGGTGTCTAACTGGGCAAGATGCAGTCAGCAGCGGACTGCACCTTATTCTCGGAGCCCTTTTGTAAGGGGCCAGTGACTGACTGGCTGCTGGAGTGAGTGGGGCTTGGAGCTGGTTTGTTCTTCGGGAAAGTATTTGCGGGTGATGGTGGTTGAGTGCTCATGGGAACAGTCAGGCATATCTCATTCCTCGCAGCCCTGTGTCTTCATGTCACCTGTGATGCAAGCGTTCACCACAGGCTAGAAAATACCGTAACTCCATCACGTGGAATGGTAGATGTGGCAGCTGATAAACAGCCCTAGTTTGGTACAGGTCAGCCACGGAAATGGATCATGCACAGACGGAGAAAAGTATCGTCTGTGCTCTGGGTACCTCGGCGTTTCTCCAGACAGACCTGGGTCCTGGCAGTTCAGGGACCGTCGGTTAGTGCAGCACCGGGGCGGGGTCACGAGTAACTCTCCCCCTCGGACGCGGCTTTGGATGTGGAGGGCACGTTGGCCAGGATACCAGGGCTGCCTGGTGTTTTGAGAAGTGTCGTGGGATCCACAAGCCACGTCTGGATGAGCATCCCGAGTGATGGTTAAGGACTGGCCCTCCTGAAGCGTTTATACGGTGCCCGTTGCGGTAACGCGTGAGCACCTCACAATCAGGGGGATGCATATGCTAACGCCCAGGTGATCCTCCTCTGTAAGTGCGGAGCTGAGGCCCAGGGAGACTCTGACCTACCCAAGGTCACACAGGAAGCCTGGCAGAGCAGGGACTTGAACCTGGTACCGGCAAAACCCAGGCCGGCATTGGATTACCGGCCTCCTCTCAGCAGGAGGCTAACTCCTCCATCAGCGCATGGCTGGATCTGCTTTGAGTATGAGCCTAAGCACTAGTTTGGTTAAATTTTCCTCCCGTCGTCCTCAGGCCCTGAGATACAGCGCTGTGAACTTTCTGTGATCCCCTGCCTTTCTGGCTGCCAGAGCACTGCCCAACTCGGAGAAATGAGTTCCTCACCAACCCCTGGCTGGGTGCCAGTCTGTGCAATGAGCATGACGGAATAGCTGCTCCCAGTGAGGGGTCTCTTGGGGGGGTGGGGAGGAGACAGCTGCTCCGGAGGAGCCAGCCATGCCCATTCCAGCAAGAGGCTCCAAACCCCCGGCAGGCCTGCTGGGCCAGGGAGTGCAGAAGACGGGGTGTGAAAGGAAAACGTGGCGAGGTGCCCCTAATTACAGAGCTGCCGTGAGTTGTGCTGTTGAGAGCTTCAGCCCAGAGCTGCAGCTGCTCCTAGACTTCGTAGACACCCCCTTGGGGTTCCTCTGTGTGAACGCAGCCTAAGCCCAGGGGATGCCTGGCTGCACTTGTCTTAATATGAACATTTAGTATTTTTTTCCCCACATCCGCTGTTTGCACCTGATTTCGCCCCACCTCCTTTGTATCCCCCCGCATGGAGGGGGGTGGGGTCGGGGGTCAGGGATGCGCAGGAGTTCTTGGCCCTCGCTTCTCAGTCCTCTTCCTTATGTTTGTCATGGGGAGAGAGGACTCCTGGTTAATGGACAGGCCCCAGGGGATGGGGCTGCATGAGCCTGTTAGTTCACGTGGTGGTGAGTTGTCATTTGCTGGGGCCACGAAAATCCAGCTGACTTTGCTGTGACAACGGCCAGTGCTTTGTTCACCCGAAAGGCTCAGCATTCCAGCTGAATCAGAACGCTCTCCTGATGGCTAAAGCAGGGCGGGTGGGGGGGGTTTCAAGCTCCCCATGCTGTCTGGGTCCCTGTCCTTGCTCTTTAAGGAGATGGCTGGTAGCAGCAGGGGCTTTGCAAAGCTGGAGGTGTCTCTTCTGGAATCGCTGCAGTGTCTGGACACCTACCATCAGCCCTTGTTCTGTTTGCCGTGGTATTTACAGAGTTAGGGAATTGCCTCGGGACAGGAATCGGTATTGGAGGGGCCCCCTTCGTAGTTCCTGTGCAGTTCTCTCTTGTGACTGTCCTGACTGCTGCTGTGTTCTGGGCCCTAAGCTGGGATTGTTGGTAGAGCGCTGCTGTTTGTATGGTGGTAATGCCTGGGTTGTATCACCTTGCCACGCCCTCAGGAAGATCACAAAGACCCGGGGACAGTAGATGTCACGTGCCCCCTGAAAGGCCTGCCTTTCTTCCTCTCTCTCAGCACACTTTGACTACCAGTATGGCTACCGGAAATTTGACAGCTCAGACGGCTCGCGCACCCAGAAGTACGCTAGTAACATCACCTACTACTTCGATAACGTCAGCAGCACGGAGCTGTACAGCGTGGATCAGGAGCTGCTCAAGGACTACATCAAGCGGCAGATGTAAGTGCTGCCCCTTCCCTGGGGGCCGGGGGTGTCCCTAGCCAGCAGAGCCAGGGACTGGGATTTGTCCTCTCTTGATGTGGTGCTGTGGCGTAACATGGGGCAGCGAAGCTCCATGAGCCCGCACTGGGGGCTGAACTCAGCTCAAAATGTGGCACCCAACTTACCTGGGATACTCAACAGACGTAGCCTTGGGAGGGGCTGCAGCCTGGGAGTCGATGCTTCTGTCTGCCATGGAGTTACCAAAACCAGAAGGGGGGAGGGGCTTGTGGCTAGGCCATGGGACTGACTCCAGACCTGGGCTCAGTTCCCTGCTTTGCCAGAGACTCCCTTGAACAAGGCTTTTGACTCTGTGTGCCCTTCAATTCCCCACCTGTAAACTGGGTCTCTTGCCCACCCATGGTCTTTGTTTAGATGATAAACTCTGTGGGGCAGGGACTCTGTGCGGAGAACTGAGTCTGACGGGACCCCTGGCTGAGCTGGGGCCTTCAGGTACCCTGGGATACAAGCAAGAGCTAACAGTCTGGCTGTGAGCAGCCGGCTTGCAGGTGTAGGACTCTGGCTATCGAGGCGAGGGGGCAGAGAAGTAGAAGGGTGGTGCCTTTTCTGGCGTCCAGCCCTCTTTTGGGGAGATGCATGAACTGATAGGCCCCCTCAGAGCTGAGCCACTACCAGAGAGTCGCGTAACTTCCCTTTCAGAGATTGTGCTTGAGCTCCTCTTTGCCCAGCGCCACTAACGAGCTGCTCCTCGTGCAGGTGGCAGCCGCGCAGGGCTGGCTTCCAGCATCTCTCTGCGGTTTCAGGGCCTGGCCTGAGCTCCCAGGGCGCCCGCTGTCACAGGAAAGGCTGGAGATCCCGGCGGGGGTGGGGGTGGCTCGTGGGGTCTGCGGTGCCTGAGCAAGGTGGTGATAGTCTGTATCTCCTTCCTTCGCTGCCGGTACTCCGTGCAGAGAGTACTACTTCAGCGTGGACAACCTGGAGCGGGACTTCTTCCTGCGGCGCAAGATGGACACGGAAGGCTTCCTCCCCATCACCTTGATCGCCAGCTTCCACCGGGTGCAGGCCCTGACCACGGACGTTGGCCTCATCGTCAAGGTGAGGGCTCCTGACGGGGTCGCCTCTGGGAACAGGGTGGTCTGCGGGGCTGCTGGGCAAAGCTCGGCTCGGGCCGTTCCCCTCCTGTCCAGTCCCCGATTCTCTCAAACCTGACTTTCCCGCTGACTTCCGGGAAGATGCTGCGGCCACTGGGGGACTTGCCCAAGGTGAGGCCAAGCAAGTCGGACTTCCTGCTTTGCCCCACTGGTGGAACCCCAGGGTACGTGAGCTAATGGGAGCACGTTGCTCCCTGCCCGGTGCAGACGCCAGGGTTCTGTCTCCACCTCCCTGCAAAGGCAGCCCCAGCCTCCAGGCTGGGGTTCACAGCCGCCCCTTGAGGGGCGTCTCTGAATTAACACCGCTCGGGGGGCTTGGTCTCCAGGCTCTGAAGGACAGCAAGGTGGTGGAGATTGTGGACCAGAAGATCAGGAGAAAGGAGCAGCCAGAAAAATGGCCTCTCCCTGGCCCCCCCATGGCAGACTACACACAGACTGACTTCTCTCAGCTCATCAACTGCCCCGAGTTCGTCCCCCGGCAGAGCTTCCAAAAGGAGACAGGTAAGAGGGGGAGCGTTGGGGTGAGTGGGTGCGTGTAACCGGGGAGAGTGTGGGAGGCGAAGCTATCTAGTGCTGTCACGAATTCATGTAATTAATAGCAGGTGGATGGTGTTTTTGGGGCAGTTTGTCCTGTAGCGACCCTGACTCTCCCAGGAAGGGTCCTGCTGAGGATGGAGGGGGGCCCAAGCACCCGAGACCCTTTGGGCTGACACTTCTCAGGGCTGCGTAAACTCAGTGGGTGTCCAGATCCCCTGAGTGGCTTTGCAAATCTCAGCCTTTCAATCTAGACATGGCAAACTGTGAAGAATATGACACATGGAGCAATCCTGCATTTTGGCAAGAGGGTTCCCCGTAGCAGCCCTCTCCTTGCTGCAAGGCCTTTCCCTTCTCTGGACTTGGTGTTCGCTGCTGTGGAGGCAGCTTTCTCTGGGACTTTCCTTCCAGGTTTTTGAGAATAAGACCCTTGAATGTGCACAGACTCATGCCACTTGCCCTGGGGCCGTCCTTACCTGCGTGGGTGGATGTGCAAACACTTACATGCCATGTATAAAACCCTTGTCTGTCCCGAAATGTATCTAGAATCTGCCCCCGGCTCTCCCCGCTCTGCCAGCCCTGTGCCGACTAAGACTGAGGAGGTCAGTAACCTGAAGACAATGCCCAAAGGCCTGTCTGCCAGCTTACCGGACTTGGATTCGGAGACGTGGATTGAAGTGAAGAAGAGGCCTAGGCCTTCCCCAGCCAGACCCAAGGTACTGTGCGGCGTGTGTGGCTCTCCCCATGTAGCAGGCTGAGCTGAGACACGCCACGGGGTGGGAACGGCGCTGGGCAGTGTCTGGGAAATGGCTGGGTTTTGCTGGCAGTTGTCTGGCCAGCTCTAGCAATGAGGCAGGAGCAGATTTAGTACTTGACTGGCTTCTGGGGCATGACTCCCGTGGGTGGCTTTCCTGGTTGAACGTGGGCTGTCAGCTTCGTGTGGCCTAGAAGGGAAAAGCAGTGAGCTGAAGGTGACCCTGTTCTTTCAGCAGCACAGAACCAGCAGCCTTTGGGACGGCAGGGTCACTCCATGTGTTGTGCTGAGTCAGCACCAGGGTCTTGCTGGAGCAGTATTAACTCGCCAGGGCAGAAATGTGCAGTTCTCCCTGGCTCCTGACCTGAAAACCCAGCGGGCCTTGCGGTGACTGTTCTGCTGGAGCCCTAGCTGCATCCCCCAGGGCCTCCAACTCATCCTCTCCTCCGTTTGCCTTTAGAAAGTGGAGGAGTCGAAAGCACCGCAGAAACAGAAGGACCAAGACGAGCCTGAGGAGTTGGACTTCCTGTTTGACGAGGAAATGGAGCAGATAGACGGCCGTAAGAACACCTTCACCGACTGGTCAGATGAGGATTCTGACTACGAAATCGACGACAGGGATGTGAACAAGATCCTGATTGTGACGCAGACGCCCCCTTACCTGCGCCGGCATCCCGGGGGGGATCGCACAGGCAATCACACCTCCAGGGCGAAAATGAGCTCTGAGCTAGCCAAGGTCATCAATGATGGGCTGTATTACTATGAGCAGGACCTGTGGACGGAGCAGTTTGAGCCTGAATATTCGCAGATCAAGGTGAGAGCTAGAACCTGTGTCCCAGCGTGTGTCTGGGTGACCCTACCCCTGGCTTAGTTAATCCAATGCGAACCATACGTGGGGGGCGCGCTCATTTCAGGTTGAGTAGCTGGCTTATTTCACTTGGACTTAAAACCTCTTCCTAACCAGCTCATGCGAAACGAAATAAACCTGGTTCAGACTGAAACAGGCGCGACTGTACTGTGTCTTGCGCTGGTTGAAAATCACAGATGAGCCCTGCGACAGGGTTGGGCGAGGGCATCGCATGGTGCTCATGAAAGGTGTCCAGCCAACAGTGCTGGATTTGGGACTCCTACCCGCCGAACAGGGTCACAGGTAGCAGCATGGCTAGCTTCGCCCCCAGCCCCGAGTTTGCCCTAGAGAGCCCTCCCTTAGGGCTCCCAGGCTCTCTTTCATCCTGCCCTAGCACAGCACCTGGGAGGGGAAATGGCTTTAGTTAGAGGGATGGGTGCAGTTGGGCAGGAACCAGCCAGCCACACCAGTTCCTTGTCCCTTCCTGCCACTTGGACCATATCTCCCCCTTCCTTTCTCGACCTACAGCAGATCTGTGCTCCTGGCCATCTCCCCCAAGACTCTCTCTCATTTCCTCCCCACTTCACCTCTGTTCTCACTGTGTCCCGGCCTCGCTCCTTTGGGCTGCTCCCACTGTCTGCTTGTGCATCTCTGTTCATGCTGCATTCTGTACTTGACAATTGCTCCTTAAAACTCACGCTTTCCCATCCCCCTGTTCTGTCTTCCTCCTCACGCTCCAGTGGCCTGCACCTTGGAGTCTGTTTCAGGCCTTGTAGAGCATCACATCATCTCTGGTGGTGTGTAAGCCTTTCTAGGGCTTGCCCTCCAGACGTGGCTAGGGGCCTGGTGCCCAGGAACTCTGGGCTGTGGGAAACCAGATTGGAAGCTGACGTGACAGTACCGGCTGTAGCTGCGGAAGTCAGGGTGACATTGTTGAGGGAGAGGCAGCTAGATGCTGGGAAGGGAGGGACTGAGGAGAGCAAGCTGCAAAGTGCTTCTGCTCCTCTGTGAAGTCGGAGGAGCCGACGCCTCTGCAGGAAAGCAGGTGCAGTACCGTTAGCTGTCCGAGACCACCCCACACTTGTCTCCCCATGCACATGGGAGCCAGGTCAGGATCATTCCACCCCCCAAAACGTTCCTGCGTGGAGGCTGCAGTGTTCGGAAGTCAGGAGGTGCCAGTTTAAAGCGCCCCCTTATGCCTGTGTGTTGTGGTCGCTTTTATTTTTGGTATCCTACCGCGTCTCTGGTAATACAATCCTGGTCACTATTCTTTCCAGTGACCCCCTCCCCCCGACCCATAGCCCCTGCTCTGTTTTTGTTGCCACAAGGACCTGTCGTATCTCCGGAGACTCTGGCATTTTATAGGTGGTCTCTGTTCTCTCTGAAGTGCCACGTTGTGGGCAGCCGATTCCAAGACTTTCTCTTCAACCCAGCGAGCAGCACAACCGTTCAGGGGGCGAAAGCCGGTGGCCAGCACATGCCGTCAGTGGGTTGCTACTGCACTAAGGGGACATGTTTCTCACTCGGGTTAGCTAACGGGGATTAAAATAGCAGAGAAGACCCAGAACTTGGCTTTTGACTCAAGCCAGGCCTTGTCTCGACGACAAAATTAAGTCGACTTAAATTAGGTCTCCGTACAGTCACTGCTGTGATTCATGTCCACACTACACCCCCTCTGGTGGTGGTGCATGACACCACTTCCACTGACTTAACTGTGTGGGGTGCTGACAGCTGGAGCCTCCCTGCCCCGGGGCTGACAGCCAACAGGCGATTGTAAGCAACACCGTGTCTACACGGACGCTGCCTCGCCCAAACAACATCACCCTAAGCAGGACCCCTCGTGTAGGTGGAGTTACCAGGTCGGTGTAGTGGGTGACTTACATCGGCGGGAGCAACGGCGGAGTGTAGTCACTGATAGGTTGATATAAGCTGCTTTCCGTCGACCTGACTCTGTAGTGGAGACCAGGCCATAGCCATTCAAGTTCAACCCAGACTCCCCTGTGGGCTTGACTTGGAGTTAGAAGCCAAGGTACCATGTCTTCGCTGCTGTTTTAACCCAGGTTACCTCACTCGGGATAAGAACATGCTTTCCCTCGCCCCCGAGAAGGCCTTAGTCTGCAGTGTGTTGCAGAAGAACAGTTTTACTGAGTAATGCTCACAGAAATGACTGCCTTGGACTTCAGTGATGCTTCCCCGGGCGTACGCGGGGCCGTGCTTGGTACTACACCATGAGGGGAAATAGAGTTGTGCCACGGGGAGCAAATTGAAGCTGAGAATGGGGAGGCGGAAGTGGTCGGGGTGAGGAGCAGAGGGCCCGAGGGAGGTGCTGTTTGGGCAGCCCTGGGCAGAGTCACATAGTAAGAGGGTGGCGTGTGGTGCGTGCAGTCCAGTGGGACACCTGGGCCCTTGCTGGGAGCATGCTGAGCCTGTATTAGTACCCCAAGAGAGGAGAGGGGCTGGGGGGTGAAGAAGGCGCTGGAGGCCTTGGGGAGGCTGGTCCCTGAGTGGCCTGGGAACCCAGGGGAGCTGTAAGACATTCTAGAGGTAACTGAAGTGGGTGAGTGTGAAAGGAGCAGGAAGGGGGTGGTAATGCCAGTGTCTTCTAGCGCTTTCGTATATTTATCCTCACAGCAACCCCAAGAGGGTAGGGAAGCGTTGTTACGGTCCCCATTGTACTGAGGCACAGAGAGGCTTCAGTGCCTTGCCCAAGGTCACCAGGAAGTGACCGGAGCTGGGAATTGAACCTGGATCTCCTGCGGCCTCGGCTTGTGCCCTGGCACCAGGCCGTCGCTCCTAGAGATGAGCATGGCGCTGCTCTGGGAGAGCTCCTCCAGGTTGGATTGAGAGTTGGGCTGGCTAAGAGCAATGAGACAGAGCAGGTGACGGCCCCATCCCTGCAGGACATTGTCACGGGCGGGTTTCCCTTTCCCGTCTCCAGAAATGCATAGCTGGGACAGCAGAAGTGCGAGAGATGCCAGGGAGCTGCTCTAGCCCGGGGGGTGCACGTGGATTTGGGTGTCACATGCACCGCAAATCGCTCCTGTAGGGAGGAAATGGAAGGGTTCCCTCGTCCTGTCCGTGGCACAGAGGGGTGAGCCGTGCCCCTCAGCGCTCGGAGCTGGCACTTCCGTGACTGGCACCAGGACAAAGGGGTGGGGCCCCCTTTAAAAGCAAGTCCTAGGCTAAGTCGGATTCCCCCTCCTAGTCTAAATGGGCTGGCGCTGCAGTACTGACCTCTCACCAGAGTTACCTGCTGGGAGAGGGCAGTGGTGAGGGCATGTCCAGGCTGTGCTGGCAACGGGAGGGAACAGATAGATTTGGGATGAGCCACAGATGAAGTGTCTGCTCAGGGCCAGCGCGGAACCCCAGAGGAGGCTCTCAGCTGAATCGGGGTGAACCGTCCTGTCGTGGGCAGGGCAGCTGTGCTGGCTACTCCATTCTCTTCATCTTTAAATGCAGCAAGAGGTTGAGAACTTCAAGAAGGTGAATATGATCAGCCGGGAGCAGTTTGATACTCTGACCCCAGAGCCCCCCGTCGATCCAAACCAGGAAGTCCCGCCTGGACCCCCCAGATTCCAGCAAGGTAAGAGATGCGGTATTAAGGACGTATTTGTGTAACTTACTTCTAACTCTAGGGAACAAAGCTGGTTGGTCCTGCTCCAGGTCCTGAAATCTGGAGAGAGGGCGCCGGTGGCATTGTGCCGCCGTGAGCACGTTTGCCGAATGTGCGTTACCCAATACACCTAAATGATGGGAAGCGTTACCAGAGCTGGAGCCTGATCTGCTGCGGAGAGCCTGGTGTCTTTGACCTGGCAGCTGTCCCTGGAGTGACTCCGCTGAGCAGTCGCAGGCTCCATAGCAGCTGATGAGAAGTGGGCAGGGGAGGCAGGGTGTCTTGGTGCTGTGGGTAACGAGCTGTGCTTATTGGGACCCATCCCCTGCTGGCCAGCCAGCTGGAGCACCTTGAACGGGGGCCTCAGTCACGCTGGGGCTGGCATGCTGCCGAGCCGGGGATCGGGATAAGGGCATAGCGTAGTGCTCCAGTGACCCCGGGGGGGGGTGTGTGTGTGTGTCTTGGGGTGGGGGGGTTGCTCACCAACCATCCTGCCCGGGAGCCTCTGAACCAGAGGGGGACCCTGCCCTGCACTGGGCATCCCACCTGTCACGTCTGCAGTACAAGATGGGTCCCTCCACGGTCACCAGCCGCCCAACTCCTCAGGCTGGAGCTGCTCCCTCAACCAGGAGCAAAGTGTCCTGTCCCCTCCGGCTCCCCTCTCCCTGTTTCCACTGGGACAGAGGTGGTGCATGCTGCAGAATCCTTCCAGGAATCTCCCCATAGAGGCGTGGCCTAGCACGCCTCCCCGGTCTAGTGACACCGCTTGCCCCATGAAACACAGAGCAGAGCACTCAGGGTCCCGGGAGAAGAAGGAGCCCAAATTCAGGGGTCTCCCAGGCAATGTAGGGTCTTAACGGGTCTCGCCTGTGGGTCATGCTGCCAGGTGACCTCTGTTGCACTGAGGGAGAGGTGACTTTCACAGTCGGACTTACTGGCTGTATCTTTCCTATGAATGAAATGAAGGGATCTGCATGTAGGACCAGGTTGAAGGTGCAGCTGGGTCCAGTGTTCTGGCCGGGGAAGTGGTAGATGGGGTCTCCTCTCCCTCCCCCCGCCGTGTGGGGGGGGGGATGGGGTTCTCATTAGGAAGGGGTTTCTCCCTGGTCTGCAGGAGGAGACTGGCAGAACCACAGAGCCCTAGTCCCAAAACTCTTCTTAGCCCCACATGGTTCTTCCCAGCTTTCCACCCGAGGCAGCTGCCGCTTTGTCGTAGCAGCCTTCTCCCTGGTGCTTGGTGTTTGTCTTTCTGGAGGCGCTCGGTGAAAGGTCTGAGCTGCAGGCTGCTCCTCCAGGAGCAGGGGACAGCAGATTGCATGTCTGGTCCATCTCCTGAACAGGCTTTGGAGAGAGAGAGCTCCACCGTGTGGTTCCAAGTACAACCAGTGGGGCCCCTTCCCCTCAGCCAGAGCTCGGTGTGAGCTGGTTTTTGGGGGCTGTTCCCATCCCCCTCTCCTTCCTGCAGTTCCTACCGACGCTTTGGCCAATAAGCTATTTGGAGTTCCGGAGCCTTCAACCATCGCTCGATCTCTGCCAACCACTGTGCCAGAATCACCCAACTATCGCAACGCCAGGACCCCCCGGACCCCTCGCACGCCTCAGCTGAAAGACCCAACGCAGACGCCCCGGTTCTACCCCGTGGTGAAGGAGGGCAGGACGATAGATGCCAAGGTGAGATGTCCCAGGGGGTTCGGGCTGCGTGTGCGGGTGACGATGCTTTCAGCTACCCGGGAGGTGTTTGGGACTCCTGCTTCCTGTCTGGGGTGGCCACAGGAGTTGGGGAGGCAGGGGGGGAAAGGGGTCAACCCAGGAGAAAAGACACTTACGCCGCTGTCCCTTGCAGACCCCCCGGAAGAGGAAGACGAGGCACAGTTCAAACCCCCCCATGGAATGCCATGTTGGCTGGGTGATGGATTCCCGGGAACACAGGCCTCGCACTGCCTCCATCAGGTATTCAGAAGGGCCGAGGAGGATGGGAAGGGGCCAGAGAGAGACCTGTAGAGCTGACAACCAAGGAGCAGTGCGGTGGGAAGGCGCTGTCTGGCCCTGGTGCAGCCTTAGCGCCCTCTGGCCCGAGAAGCATGGCGGTCAGCGGGGTTAAAGGGCTCTTCCCTCTGTAGCACGCTCACCCAGTGGAGCTGCCTTTGCAGGACGGTTGGTGACAGGGTTGGGGCTCCATTTAAAGGGAAGGAAAAGAATTGTCCCCCGTCTGCGTGACGGACTCATCAGAGCAGCTAAATGCATGTGGGAAGCTAAACCAACGTGCGCTCGTGTCAGAGGGGCCTGCTCCGAATAGTGTCTGATTTCTGTAGTGTTCTGGGTGTGTACAAGGCTATAGACCGAAGACAAGGGAGGGCCCTGGCCTGAGGAGTTCATGTAACAGCCCCTTTCCATGCCATCCCCCGTACGATCAGGTAGCAGGATGCTGCAGGCCACTGTGCAAACCACGTGAACCTTGCTTTCCTCCTGCTGTGCTGTCCGGCCCCGGGGCGCTCCCTGTCTCGCTGGGCTGCAGCCTCTCATCCCACGAGTGATGCTGTGGCTCGGGTTTGCACCTGCTGGTGCCTGAAGGAAGAAAAGGTGGTTTGAGTGGTGTGTCTTGTGCTCAGCTCCAGCCCCTCGGAAGGAACCCCTGCCGTCGGGAGCTACGGCTGCACCCCCCAGTCGCTGCCCAAGTTCCAGCATCCTTCCCACGAGCTGCTCAAGGAGAACGGCTTCACGCAACATGTGTATCACAAGTACCGTCGGCGCTGCCTTAATGGTGGGTTGGGGGAGGCCCCGCTGAGCTCACCCCAGGGCTGCTGGAGCTCTCGCTCTGCCTAGCAGAGGGTGGGGGCACCCCCTGTGCAGCAACACACCGTAACTGCACGGGTGACCTATCTCTGCACTGGCATAATAGACGCTGCTGCTGCCTAAACCAGGGCAGGGACATGGAACGGACAAACCAAACCTAACCCTCCTTCACCTTGCATTGTAGACTAAAGAGGGCACCGGGTTACTGGTAGCTAGCATCGCGTCTCCGTGCACGCAGAGGGAACTGACTTTGTGGAACTTACACCAACCGGCAGCACAGTCAACCTGTGGAACTCCTTGCCAGGGGATATTGTGAAGTCCAAAACTATAACAGGGCTCAAAAAAGAACTTGATAAATTCATGGAGGAGAGGTCCATCAGTGGCTGGGGGGGAGGGATAGCTCAGTGGTTTGAGCATTGGCCTGCTAAACCCAGGGTTGTGAGTTCAATCTTTGAGGGGGCCATTTAGGGATCTGGGGCAAAAATTGGGGATTGGTCCTGCTTTGAGCAGGGGGTTGGACTAGATGACCTCCTGAGGTCCCTTCCAACCCTGATATTCTATGATTAGCCAAGATGGGCAGGGATGGTGTCCCTAGTCTCTGTTTGCCAGAAGCTGGGAGTGAGTGACAGGAGCTGGATCACTTGATTCCCTGTTCTGTTCCTTCCCTCTGGGGCACCTGGCACTGGCCACTGTCGGAAGACAGGACACTGGGCTAGATGAACCGTTGGTCTGACCCATTATGGCTATTCCTAAGTGGTGGGTTACGTTTAGGGCTGGATGCCCTCGTAAGCTTCTCCAGGGCATCTTCCCACTTCATCCCTGTGCTGCTGCTCCTGGCAGGGGTAGTCTACCCGTCCGCCTGGAACCCAGAGTCACTGCTTTCCTTCCCCCCCAACAGAGCGCAAACGCCTGGGCATCGGTCAGTCCCAGGAGATGAACACGCTCTTCCGCTTCTGGTCGTTTTTCCTCCGAGATCATTTTAACAAGAAAATGTACGAGGAATTCAAGCAGCTGGCATTGGAAGATGGCAAGGAGGGATACAGGTAGGGCATGGTCACCTGTGCTGTGAGTTGGGACGGGAGGCCGCATTCAGGTTTCGGGATGAGAGCGCGTGAGTGGGGCGGGGAGTAAACGCTGGTGCGTCTTAGAGCAGAGGGAGCGGGTGCAACCCTGGGGAAGGAACAGGGGAGAGGCTCAAGCTCCACCTCACACAGAAGCAGGGTATCAGCTGCGGTGTGTCCCTCGGGAGTGTTCCCAGCCCTGAGAGATGGCGTCATTCCCTGTTGACATGGGGCTGGGCCCAGGAGCCCGGGGCTAGCTTAGGCTTCTCACACAGTTGCGCTGAGCTGGTGTCTGCACGTGGCGCTCACGAGCCGGTGGCTGCCGCTGTGTTCTGCAGGTACGGCCTGGAGTGCCTTTTCAGATACTACAGCTACGGGCTGGAGAAGAAATTCCGGCCGGACATATTTAAGGATTTCCAAGAAGAAACCATCAAGGATTACGAAGCAGGTAGGTGGTTCCTTCGGCCGATCCTTGAAGCTTGTCATCCAGCCTTGCTCTCTGTGACGGGCTTCCTCTGGGAAGTCCAGCCGTGCTCCAGGTTTACTGTGGGAATGGTGACCGGGGAGCAGCGCTGGCTGTAACCGTCCAAGGGCTGTGTGGAGTAGAGCACATGGGAACCGTCGGCGACTCTGGGCTGAAAGGGACATCTGGCTGTTCGGGACACGGAGGTGGCTGGGGGCCTGGCGCTGGGAAGGCTAATGGAAATAGGCTATAGTCGATGTTCTCCAGATTCACCCTTTGTGGGACCAGGTCCTCCAGGGTTTCTCTGAGGGCTTGCAGTGACCCAACCCTCCGACTGAACAGGACCCCCTGCACCCAGAGCTAGTCACTGTCTCCCAGAGTGGGTGACCCAGTAGTGAGAGGGGTCCTCTCCTCTCCCATGGTTCAGCCATGCCGTCTGTGCTGTGCTCACAGCCCCTGCTGGCCTAGGGAGCGACAGGCCAACGCGGTCTCAGTGTGTGGAAAGCAGACAGGCCCTCCTCTGCGACTTCACCTCAAGATACACTCTTGGTGCCACGCGGTCATTGTGCCAGACCCAAAGGGTTTATTGAGGCGTCTCTGCACCCGATGGGTGGGTGCCACGTGGTTACAGGCAATCCCGTGCGCCCTTGGCGGAGATCCAGTGTATCGCAGTGAGCCTGAGAGGCCCCTTCGCACAGTGTCTGTGTTCGGGTGGAGGGTGCTTGTTAGGCTCTCGGGAGCCCTTCGTGGACCGCTCTGATGACTGTAGCTTTGTGTCTCGTAACAGGGCAGCTCTATGGGCTGGAAAAGTTTTGGGCCTACTTAAAATATTCCAAAGCCAAAAACCTGGACATTGATCGCAAGCTGCAAGAATACCTCAGCAAGTTCAAGCGCCTGGAGGACTTCCGAGTGGACGTGAGTAGGCGCTGCGGCTGATGGCTCTTCCCACTGCCCCCCCCAGCTCTTCCTCTCTTTTTCCTTCTCTTCCCCCCCCCCCCCCCCCCCATCTCCATCCCTATCCCTGACCACTTCTCCCAGGGCAGGGGCGGTGGGTGGAAATTCAGTCAGAATTGGGGCCAGGTTTAACTCAGCAGCAACCCCTAGTGTGGGGTTCAGGTCATCGCAGCTGGGTGGGGGAATAAAGACACGCCCCTTGTTTCTGTGTCGAAGGGCCCCCTGAATACAGGGCTGTTCCTTGGCTACTCGGTCTCCATGGGAATAATATTTAGCTTGGTTTTGCTTCCCCAGCTCTGGACAGCTGTGAATTGCTTCCCTGCTGGAGAGAAGCATGGGCCTTGCTTTGATCCCACATGCTCTTTTGTAGCCAGGCGGTGTGTGGGGGAGGCCGGAGGACGCTCCCCCACACATTGTGAATGGGGTTAAGGTTCGTTTTCTCCCGAGATCTCTGAGGAGGAGTCAGTGACTTTCAGAGCAGCTGATGTACAGCTCGACAGCGCCTAGGGGCTGGCAGCACATGCGTGCGAATGTCAGGGGCAGGAGATAGGAGAGAGAATTTCAGATGAACTTTGAAATAAGGGGGGGCTGGGCAGGAGGCTGCTGCACAGATAGCGTATGGGTGTTGGAGGTGGGGCAGGACAGAAGAACAGTCAGTGTTAGATAAGGAGAGAGAGAGGGGCCTGCCTGGTATGGTGGAGCCAGGAAAGCTAACCCTGCCCCACTGGCATGTTGCTCAGCTCTCAGGGGTTATCACAGGCCTCTCCGATAGGAGTTGTTTGCGTCGGATCAGTTACTCCTCTGTACCTGCCAGCCCGTGCCCAGCACTCACGAGGGTGCCACTGGGTTTTCATATTGGGAGCCAGGTTAAGCCTGTTTGTACAAACATTAACCCTATTAACCCCCCCGTCCCCAGGGAGACAGGTAAGTATTTCTCCTCCCCATTGTGTCCATGAGAAAAACCCAGCACCCAGTTAGCTGGCTTGCTTGGTGGAGCCAGGTTTGGTAGTCAGAGCTGGTTCCTCGTGCTGCACCGGACTGCTGGACCATACTGCTCTGCTGAGAGAGGCTTGGCAAAGAGGGGGAACCTGCGAAGCTGAGCTTCGCTGGAGGCCCCGATGCCGTACCTGCACGCAGTTAGGGGATGAATCCTGGCGGTGGTGGGTTGGCACCATCGGTGTATTTAGAGCAGGCCGCATCCCAGTGGGACCTCGTGTCAGGAAGCGCGAATGATTTGCCTGCTGTCATGACTCAGCAGGAAGCAAAAGCAGCTCGAGCTGCTGCCTCCTGGGGAGAGGAATTGGGGATTATAACAAGAAAGGGAGGCCGAAAACTGCCCCAGGCCGAGGATCGGCCTAGGCCTGAAGCCAGTTCGCCCCACAAGAATTCTTCCCTCTGGCTCCCTAATGCAGCCAGAGTGCAGCCCTCCCCCTGAGCACCTGCGTGAGCAGATGGAGAGGCTGAGCTAAGGTTAACTCCCCTGTCCCCCTTGTTCCCTGGGATCCAGGGAGGGCTCTTGTACCTGTCGATGGGGCTTCCCAGGTGACAGGTGCAGAATATGGATACGAGGGGGTGGTGGAGGCAAGACCGCGGCAGCGTGCGTGGGGGTGACTTGCTTTGAGATAGCTGCTCTGATGCCAGGGTTCTTTCTCTTTCAGCCACCCATGGGAGAGGAAGGTGGTCACAAGAGATTCCCATCAACGCTGGGAGGAGACGGAAGGAAGCGCTACCCCTCCCAGTCTTCCAGCAAACCGGTCAGCCACTCCCCATCCAGCCAAGCCCATGCCTCGCCCAGCCAGCCTGTGAGAGAGGATGCCAAAAACCTGAGCCACCATGCCCTTGCCACAGCGGCTGTGGAATCTCAAACACTGGGGAAGTAGAGAAGCTGGAGCTTCTGCTTCCTATTGGGGAAGGGGTGGGTTGGTGGGGAATTTGACCGGGGGAGGGGAGAAGTGCGGTGGGGAGGGACTGCAAGGGAGTTGGAACGTGGGTGTCCAAGAATAGGCTGCTGGGGGAAACTTCAACGCACACAACCTCTCTTGTGGCTGGAAAACAAGACGATCCCAATCCAAAAAGGATCCTTTGCTTGCTGTCTGTCACTGACTGAAGCCGGACCCCCTCCGCCCCCACTTTCATGTCTTAGCTTCTTTCTGGGTGGGTTGGGAAGGGGGAGATATTTTTTTTATTATATATATATCAAGTTTTAAATTATTGATAGAAGTTCGTCTGGATTTACCAAAATCACTCTGCGCTACGCAGCTCCCACCTCCCTCACCCCTCCCCGACCCGACACGCACCCCTTCGGGTCAGCTATGCAGCCTGCTCGGAAAGCTACGAAGCTCCGCGTCGAGTCGGCCTGCGGAACCACTGACGTTCCTGACCCGGCTGACTTCACCCATTCCGGATACAAGGATGCGTTTTAAAAACAAAAACCCAACCGATACAGAAAGACTTGATTGTATTTGCCCCTCCTCCCGCCAGTTCCATTTCCCAGGGTGGGTTCTCCCTCCACCCAACTAGCCCTTCCATCATGGACAATTGGAAGTCAACCAAAGGACCTTGACCAGACATCGCAGTGGGCTCATTCGACCCTTCTGTGCGATGACGGGATCTGCGGGCTCGTGCAGGAACGCTGACTGCACTAGAAGCAGGAGCTTTCTCTTCCTCCCCCTTTGAAAACCACAAAAAACAAAACAAAAAAAAAACCCAAACCCTCTCCACAGACTGCTCTCCCTTGGCTTTCTTCCTTGAAAATAATTGTTGCCTTATTGTGGAGTGGGAGTTCTGTGCCCCGCCGGACTTCCTCACGTGGCCTCGGGGCGTGGCGTCTGCGTGGGGCAAGAGCCCCTTCGTAACCGCCTCCCTGTGGGACTCCTGCGGGGAACGGCTGGCGGTCTCCCGGGCGACCCGGTTGCATTGACACAGACACCGGAGCTGCTCCCTGCGGCCGAGAGGGACGCTGTAGGAACCACGCCGGACGATCCCCTTCCCTTGGAGGTGGGCTGTAGGCCACGCTCTGGAGAGGACGCCGTGCTGACGCAGCTTAATCTAAGACTTAGCCTACGTAGTTGAAGCCGATGTGATGTATATACTGTTGTAGCGTCCTTCCTGCTACAGCAACTGTCCGTGCTGTTGCCTCACTCAGACTTAGAGGTGCACTGTCATTTTCTTTCTTCCTCCGCCAGCCCAACAAGCAGGGGGAGCGCTGGGGGGTGGGGTGGGAGAGGTTGGTTATCGGCCAGCTGGGAGGGTAGGAGGCTAGCAGGAAGGGGGACAGCCCCAGTGGCCGGATTTCTCACTGTTGAGGGGAGACGTGGAGCCAAGAGTAACGTGACGGTCCCAGAGCATGTTCGTGCTACGCCATGGCAGCTGAGGAAAGCGGATACCGAGAACCCATCTTGGACGAGCGCTGACCCCAGGGGCTGGCTGGGTGGGGTTGGTCTCAATTCAGCAGGCTGCCTGCGAAATGCGGTCTCAGTGCGGGTTTCCCTGTTACAGACTGGTGCATTCAAACTTCCTCTTTCCCCCCGTTAGGGTGCACGGCAGGCACCATGCTCCAGCTGTCGCGAAGCCCTGGGTTTTGTTCGCCCGACCACAGCACCGCTGGGGCATTTATCACACTCAGCGGTGCGCTACAGGAGCCGGCTTCGGGGGGCGCCTCATCCCCCAGCGCGTGCGTTCGGACTCTCCGGAAGACAAGCTGAGCCTGGTGGGGTTTGGCCGGGGTGGGGAGCAGACGGGGCTGAGATGGCGCAGAAGGAAGTTGTGGCTCACAGGTGTTCTGCATCCCAGCCAGGAGGCAGTGCAGAATTCAGGCTTGAAGGCAGAGGTGGATCCCCTGGGAGGGGAAGGGGTACTTCCCTTGCTGGTAATATGCTCCGCCTCCATGTGTTTCTGCGTGTGCTTTGCTGGGTTCTGTGCTGCATCTCCTGCGTGTGCTGGCCTTGCAAGCCAGGGAGGAACTTGCTCGACAAATATTGAAAACAATGTCTGTCTGCAGATGCTGCTGCCTTGGCCCGCTGCTGTCTGGGTAGTGGGGGGGAACCTTCCCCCCCAGCTCATTGTCACCCCATCAGCTTTTAGTGCAATGGCATGTCACTTCTGAGCATCCCGCTGATTTAGGGCTGTCACATACTAGGGCACCATGCCTGGCAAGGGGGGGTGTCTCTAGGACTTGCATGCTGCTTAGTAGCTGGGAACCCTGCCCTGTACCTACAGGAAGCCCAGCGGTGCTGGGGGAGGGGGGCTGGAGGGCAGCAGTTCCGAGCAAAGCTCAGTACAGCAAGCTGGGTGGATCACCTGGAGTTTGTCACCATTGGGTATCAGCATCGCCAGAGGCAGGTAATGAGAGGTCCGTGAGCTGCTAATGGCCCTGTCCAGCGAAAGCAACCAGCTTCTCAGAGTTATACTGCTTAAAACAGGCTGCTGTGGGGAGCGGGGGCAGAGATGCTGGTTGTTTCAGAGCAGCTTTGGGTGACTCTACAGCCAGGCTGCTGTCGCTAGCTAGAGCCGAGCCAAGGGAACTGAGTGGCTGGTACTTTGTGTTCCCTCAAATCAAGATCCTGGTATATTCCGCAACTAAAGCCTGCTAATGCTTTAAACACAGAGGCCTGCCCCAGTGTCCTTGCCTTATTCTGCCGTGTCTGGGATAGCACGGAGTGCCCAGTTGGCCATGTGAGCCGCAACATGCAGGTGCAGCGCTATTGCGTGTCAGCCTTGACTTTGAAATTCCCTCGTCTTGTGAGCTGGAGCCAAACCCTCACTCTTGCAGGTGTGCTGGGATTTAGATGGGGGTGGTAGGGAAGAGCCTGGAGGACACTGAGGAATGACTGCGGAGACACCGCTGTCTCTGTTGTTGGGGCGGGGGGCATGGTCTCTTTGTTACCAGTTGTTTGCATCTGAACAACTCAAACCAGGAATTAGGAGAAATGGGCTCGCCTTGAGGAGTGGTTGCTTGTGAAATCCAACAGGCTAAAGGAGCCATTGAAGATGGCAGAAGTGCCCAGGAACGTCCCAGAGAGCTTCAGAGATCCAAACTGATTGATTTGCTGTTCTGTCTTTGTTTGTGCGACACCCTCTCAAATTTCAGCCCAGCGCAGTTTGTTTCCCATTTTAGTCAGTGGTCTGTCATTTGTCGTCCGTGTAAATGGGACCTGCCTAGAAAGACGTCTCTGCAGGAGAAGCTTGCCCAGAGGAGAGATCCCAGCAGTTGTGCAACAGCCCAGGATTGACATGCTGTGGAATTGTAGCAGATTACAATAGGGTCAAGTGTGAGCTGTGTTTGCATGTTGCTGTGTGAGGCAGGCCCAGATCCCCGGGGAAGGGAGAGGAGATGTGGAAATGAACCCGAGAGAGGCAGCTGCATTGCGTCATGCGTGTGGTCCTGAAGACTGAAATAAATCAAGGCAGCAAGGTCCTGTTTCACCCTATGCTCTAGAGGGAGAGGGGACTTTTGCTCTTTACTCCCTGCAGTGTACAATGTATACCCCTTTCCAAAGGGGGGAGGACAATGAAGTATTTGGCACCAGGAGTACGAGTCTATGGCAGCATTGCTCAGATGAGGGCTGACCCCATAGGGTTCTAGCCTGTGTCCACAGGCACAGAGCCCCACAGCCTGCCGAGTGGGTACCAGGGCTGAGGGGTGACTGAATGCTAAAATTGACCCCAGAGAGGTCTGCCATGCCTCATGGTGCACACGGGGTGAGTCTCTGGAGGCACCTTCCCAAAGCTAAGTGAGACCCACCTCTGCTATGTAGAATATATCTACAGCTAGAGGATTGCATGTGTCTGAACGCCCCTGCGAGGAGGGGTGGCGGCTGTTGAAATTGGTTTCCCGTCTAGAGAAGAGCAGATGGTCTGACCTCTGCATTGGCCTGATTTCCTTCCCCCACCACGGCTTTCCCGAGAGGAACTTTAACTCCCTTCTAGTCAGGGATGGTCCATCTTGACTCTCCCACCTCCTTTTAAAAAAACAGATAAAAAAAAAAATGGTTCTCGCATGTGCTGATGGGTTCTGTAGCTTGCAGTTGCCATGTCTGCGGCAGAGGCAGCTGTTAATGCAGAGCCAAGTCTGCCCCACGGCCCCCAGGTGGGGGTGCAGTTGGCCTTGCTATTCCAGGTGGAAGAAATGTCTGTTAAATCATGTGCATCTCCTCTCTCGGGCCCTGCACGTTGGTGTCCATCTTACAGACAGACAGCTGTGGCAGGATCCAAAGCACTGTGGTTCAGGATTTTTACAGAGGTCGGGTGGTTTGGGGGTTTTGTTTTTTTTAAAGGAAAATGTGTATAGGGAGCTGCTGCTCTGTCTGCTCCTCGTGGCTTGTTTCCCCCTCCCGGTGGTTATCTGTAATTGTTGGGTTCTGTCCAGGTTCACTCACTCTGCTTCTGATTGGTTGACTGTACTGTAACAAATGACATATTAACCTCAATACTCTGCCATACTTCTGTACATGTACAATACGGCAATGCGGAGGGGAGCCTTTTAGCTGTTAATGCCTTTCTGATCTATACTTTGTTTTATCAAACACACACACAAACCTGTATATGTAGCAGATTGTTTGCAACACTCTATATCCTCCGTGTGTCTCTTCTCCGAGACCTTGGGTTGTCAGCTCGCTTTCTTTTGGAATCAATGTTAGGCTCTTAATAAGGAGAGGGTTGCTACACTTGATGTTAAATGCCTCACTGACTTTTTAGTTTTAATTTCCAATTCCTATAATAATAGAGGAGAGTGGGTGTGGGTTTTGGGTTGTTTTTTTTTTTGTTTTTTTTTTTTTTTTTGAAAACAGTTTCATCTCTGATGTGGATTGGGTGGAGTGACTTAAAAAAAATTCTAGGGGTAACGTTTCAAAGAGTCGTTTACATCTTCAGTTTCTGAAGACACTTGAACATAGGACCGACGTATCTGTGACAAGCACACCCTATTGTTGGAAGCTCTCTGAGCGTGAAAGGGCATGGGCTTAAACCTATCCATTTCGGTTTTTATAGACGCTTTTTCATGTCAAACGTTAGATGTATTTCAACTAACACCCCAACCCCTCCTCTTTATTCCTCAGTGGTACATTCCCACTTCTCATCACCTCCAGAATATCAGTCTTGTACAGTAGGTTGGCTTGTACCAATGATATCCCTGGGAGACGGGGGCTTGGTATCATTTCATCCATTGGAGTCTTCCTGGCATAGTGTTGTGTGCCTGTGGGAAAGGATGGCTGAACTCTCTTCCCTTGCCAATCCCAGCCTTGGGGGGTCCCTGTGGAATGTACTACCATTGGGGTTGGAACCCCAGCCCATGGATTCCGACTTGGAAATTGACACTGAGTTTAACTGGTGGTGGTTGGGGCAGGCTGGGTTTTCCAGTGTTTTTGTCTAGATGCTCATCACTCAGCCAGAACAAAAGGGGATATAAGTTTGATCTGGCTGCCCTTTCCAACCAGGCCCTGTCTCTGTCCCAACCTCATCCCTCTACTCCCAAAAACGAAAGAGAAAAAGTGTTTTGCAACCTTCTTCAGCTGCGTTTTATTGTCGAGACAAATTTAAAATGACTTATCAGACCACTCATCACTGGGGAGGAAAATCTTGTTAACACAACCCACTCTGTGATCCATCTTCTGTTAATAGTACATAATCCTGACTTGTGTGCCAGGATCATCATCCCATTTAAAAGGAAAAGAAAAACAACCACAACAACAACAAAAAAATGTAAAATACTTGAATGAGAGCTTTGTATTATAACAGTAATATTATTCGGAGTGTCTGCTGTCTAGGCTGCTGTGATTCATTATTCTAGTAACGCTTTAGTCCTTTGTAATTTGTGGTCATTATGCTTTTCCCTTTTTAATACAAAAAAACGTATAAAAATAAAAACCTCAAAAGACCGTGTGGTATGGACTCTCCTGTCCCTGCAACCTTCCTTGCTCTGGGGTCTAAGGGTCTGAGTTATAGATCAGACACGTCTCATGGGGAATGAATACTCGTGAAGGTGAGACACGGATGGCACCCGACACGTACGCTGCAGCTGGGCACTATACAAGGTCTCCGCAGAAGAGCTCTTGTAGGACTGCTCAGTCTCAATCCCGTGCACTCTTCCCTTGCTTGTTCCTGTCCCAAGCCCCCATGCTGGGGCACTATACAAGGTCTCCGCAGAAGAGCTCTTGTAGGACTGCTCAGTCTCAATCCCGTGCACTCTTCCCTTGCTTGTTCCTGTCCCAAGCCCCCATGCTGGGGCACTATACAAGGTCTCCGCAGAAGAGCTCTTGTAGGACTGCTCAGTCTCAATCCCGTGCACTCTTCCCTTGCTTGTTCCTGTCCCAAGCCCCCATGCTGCTCTGCCAACACACCTCAGGCCTGATTTTCAGCACTCGCTGCTCTGGGTGCTCTGTGATACTTTCAGTTGTGTCCTAATGGTGTAGTGGTTTTCTGACAGGGAGACCATTTTGTTTAAGGGATTTGCAGCTCTCCCTACCAAACAGCTCAGGAGAACAGTGATGTCGGGGAGCTCTTCCATCACGTATAACTTTATGCAATCCTAGGGGTTTCCCTTTGCCTACTTTGCTGTGTTGGAATTCAGGTGAGTCTTGGTGGGATGGAGCAGTCAGCCCCTACTAGCTATGCTAATGAGACTTCAACCCCAGAACCTCCGTCCTAGAAAGTTCCCTTTGTGACTTGCATTTTGGTTTCATCCTCCGTATTAATTGTTAAAACGATAAAACCTGTGTCGTGCTCCCAGTAATGTAGCACTGTGCTGTGTGGGGGTAGCATCTGCCTGACCCTTGCTGGTGATCAGTGATGGTTTGAAGCCTGAAGCCCTTATCTCATAGGTATGGGGAGTAACCGTACTGTGGGATGTTGAGCTCTCAGGGCTGATGGTGCTGGTGAAGTGGTTACGAAGGGCCACATTGCCCCAACAAGCGTGTTTCCATGTGGTCTTCGGGTTGATTCTCCCAGGCCCAGAGTGCTGGGATGAGATCAGGGCAGGCTGAATGCCTGGAGTGCAGTGCTCTTGAATTCCCCTGTGACTCCCCATGCAATGCAGGTGAGATTTCGTCCTGGGTCCAAAAGCCTCAAGCAGGAAATGGGAGATCTGAACAGCAGCCATTTCTGTGGGGCTGGAAGGAAACCTGCATGGGGCAGTCTGTGGGCAGCTTGATCCAGGGGACTAAAAAAACGCTACGCTCACTTCAGGAGGCTCCCCAGCTGTAGGGCTGCTGCCTGGAGCTGAGCTCTGCACTCCAGGCTGCGGGGGACTGAAGGGAAGCGAGTTCAAATGTCACCAGCAACGGGTTATGGTTCCGCTTTGTCTTTGATACTTAGGATGAACAATAACCTGCTTCTCATTAGAAAATTACTTGGCATAATCATGGTTCCTAGCTCTCATGATTCCCCCGTGCAAGCCGCAGGGGAGGCGGGTTCACTTGGCTTTCTTGGGTGAGTCGGGAATGCTCTCCGTGAGAGGGGTGAGGCTCAGCAGGATAACGTGCCTCTCGTAGGCCTTGGTTTGCTTGAAGAGCGTGTCTGTTCCATGCAGGCGGTCCAGCACCCCCAGGACTCCGTAGCACTGATTGAACCTGGCAGCCAAGCACAAAGGGACCACGCAGGGTACTGCAGGTTACAGTCGAGAAACAAGGTAGGCCATGCAGATCTCTTCCCTTTCACCCCCTCCCATAGCCTGTGTCCCTATCAGAGCCCCGCCAATCCTGCTTTACGTTCTTTGTCTCTCCCAGCCTTTTGCTCTGCAGCCTGTGGAGGACTGGATGGGGTTTAGCCCAGAACCTGCCCATTCCGCTACCTAGTCATCTAGGAAAGGTGTTGAGCCAGGGGTGTTCTCCATCCCTAGGCACTGCGGGCTGCCTTTGCAGCCATCACCAGCCAGGGAGTGAGAGAGTGGGACTCTGCCAGACAGCCACAACTCCAAGCTACATGAGCTCCTGTGGCCACAGGAAGACCAGACTGCCTGTACACGCACCTATGGCCAAGGAAGCTATGAGCTGGCTATGAGCCATAGGGTCTGATGTCCCCAGTGATCCGTGCTCCTGGCATACAGCATGATCAGTGTCCTGAAGAGATGGGGTGATATGCACTGGTTGATACATCAGGTATCACCCCATCCTTAGGTTGGAACTGAACTGTCCTCCCCATTCCTGCAGGAAAGGGAAAGCAGTGCTCAGGAAGCGATGCTAGCCAAGGAGCCTGGTCAGGGACCTGAGCAGAGCCCTGGGAACCAGGACCTCCTTCGGGACTCTACCTGCAGGCCTGACACTGCTTTGCTCTGCTACCTTTGTAAAAAGGTGCTCCTACGTCACCTCCCCTGGGGGGTGGGAGTTAACAATTATGTGTCACAGCACTTTGACCAGGCGAAGCCAGGTTCCTGCTGTGTCAGGCTTTTCAGCTGTGAGAATGTCTGTCTGGCTTTTCCATTGCTGCCTTTGGACAGAGAAGGAATTAAGCAGCCAGAAAGATGCTCCACGGAGCATTGTCTGTGATGCCCTAGATCACTGCTAGGGAAGACCAGGCTATGCCTGCTTCTCTGGACCCTACACATTATTTTCTCTGTCTAATCCACCCAAGAAACCTGAGCTCAGGTTCAGCATTTGGGTTTCTGCTTCGTAGCCAGTTTTCCAGCTCCTCGGACCGCGAAACAGAAAGGAAAATGTCAGTGATTTGTCTGAAGGTTGCACGGTAGGTCAGTGGCTGAGCTGAGGTAAGAAAGCAGGAACTGTCCAAGGCCCAGTCCTCTGCTCTGACCTCTCAGTGCTTCCTGTTTACAAAGGGTGAGGAGGCTGGATACATTCAAGCTGCCTTCAGGGGAACCAGACTGAGGTGGGGCAGATGGAGTCCCAGAGTAGAGATTGACTAGCAGTCATGTCAGACTGTTTGGCCCTCACAAATGGGCTACGGCCCATCCCCACCACTGATGGGCTGACCCAGTCCACAGAGCATGGGGGGAGGAGCAGCTATATGGATAGTGTCCAGTGACCTTACTTGAGGTGGTGGAAGTCGTGGAACTCTGGCGAGGGGAGGAAAGGCAGGTGGTAGCCGCAGTGCGAGATGGATGTAGTCAGAATAGCAAGGCAGAGCCACACCATGATGGAAGCAACATGGGATCCCAGGATTATCGGACCCACCAGCAAAGGCAACATGTTGGAAAACTGGAATTCAGACACAAGCCCTGCCTCGTTAACATGCACACCCAAACCTTCTGTTCATAAGGTCGCAACCGGCGTCTCCTCTTGTTGCTTGTGCTATGGGAGCACCTAGAACCTAGTGCAGCCCGGTGCTGCTGTTGCTGAACTTGGTTGAAGTGGAATAGTGGGAGTTGAGCGCCTTGTGGAGGTGTTGTAAGTTAGCTAGTGCTGCTGTGGGAGTCCCTGGGAGTGTTCTGCCAATGCACCTAAGAGACTGGGATAAAGGAGGTGACAGAGGCCAACTCCCACTGTAACTCAGTCTATGCAGTAATATCTTCCACCAGCCTCAAGGAGGCCCCATTCCATCAAGTCCCAACCTGCCAGAGGCCCTGGCTCCCAAAAAGTTTGTCTTGACAGTAGATTGACCCTGTTGTACCTGGCTCTACCCTAAGAGCTTGTAGTCCCACTGCAAGGAGCCACAAGACACTTCTACTACAGCAGCTTTTTGGAGATGCCACAAATCCCAGCTTCATCTCCCAACAGGAAGAGTCTGAAGTGTAGCTACTCTCCTCCCTTCCCACAAATCCTCACCGAGTGGAAATGCAAAGCCCACAGCAACGGGTTGGGTTTACTTGATAGGCTGCTGGGCAGTGACCCCAAGAGGACCTGCTTACCAGGTGCTCGACCGGATGAGCATAGAGGGAGACTACACCAATGGGAGCGGTCCATTCATGGTGCTTCTTGTGTATGCGCTTGTACAGAAGCGGGTGATGAACAAGCCTGCATGGAGAGAACCAGAACAAAGTCTTCAAGTCCAGTCAACCCGGAGACCAATGTCACTCCGGGTGCATCCTCAGTACTTTTCTAATCTATAGGTTTTTAGAGCAGCCAAGTGAATTAAAGACCAGGGCTAGCCGTCAGGACTCATGAGTCAAGGCAGAACCCGAAATAGAACCCAGGTGTCCTTGGGCAATTCACCCAGCCTGTGTATATTCCTGCAATTGCTTTGTTTGCTGTTGAACTGCCTCTCTCTTTTTATGAGGTAGGTATTTTTTTTCTTTGATTTTACTCTGCATCTTTGTGTGTGTGTGTGTATGTAATAGTAGTGCTCAGGAGATCTGGAGAGTTGGGAGCTGGGTCCCATCGTGCCCAGCGCTGTACACGTGTATAGGAGGTCATGGTCCTTGACCAGGGAGTTCAGTTTTTTTGGTCTACATATACACAATACACTCTTTCTAGATTTTCTTTGGCTGGTGTATAGTTCTTCCTATAAGCAATAGTTACAGCCTCCTCCCTCCAACTCGACTGCTTTAGATTATAGCTTACTTATAAAATCAACTTGCCTTTTCCATCCCTCAGCCTGTGGGCTAGTCCATCTCAATCCTCTTACTTTCATAATCTCTGGTTAAACACGGCCCCTGGTAGCGTTACACCACCAAGAGCTCCCAAAGGAAAGGCTGGTGCCACTGACTGGCCAAGGTTAATGGAGGTGTTTTGTTGAGGGAACGGTCATAATTCAGGACAGAGCGGTCCCCATTTGTTAGGGAGCTTAAAGGAGGAAGAAGCAGCTGCAGGACAGACTAGTTCTCTTGCCCAACTCACCGGTGTGAATAGTAGAAGAGAATTTCTTCCACCAGGGTAAAAATGGACAACTCCAGGAGAAACCAGTGAAAGGTGGGTAGTTCCTCACTGCAGGGCTGTCCCCGCCACTTCATGATGGGGAGCATGAGCATCATCATTGGGAGAGAGATGAAAACCTGATTAAACAGCACTGTGTGAACAGCCTGCCGCAGCTTCGCTGGATCCACCTGCAAGAGAGGAGACTCTGCTAATGCTAGCCATGGAGCCATGCAGCTCTGGGCTCTGGGGAGAGGGAACCTTTCCAGGACTCAGGCCTTGGATGTTGGTAAGTTAGTTTGTTTTGGGTTTTTTGGACCAAGTTTCACAAGTAGGCAAATAACCAAGAAACTGATCTGCCTAAAGTTCAGCGCCCTCATTCTTTGTGTCGTTGGCAGCCGAGTGCCTGGCTCTGCTGTTGGCAAAGCACAGAACTGAAGGAGAGGGGCGAGAGGTAGGATTGACAAACACGCTTTCGGTACCCAGCAGCTGATCAGCCTTTGCTGTCTAAGCAGGATACTTCCCTACGCCAGCCTGAGCAGCTCCAAGGCTGGAATTAAGTGAGCACATCTCCGGTGTTGATGGCTCAGCATGGCCACGCTGATGTAAGACACCACTATTATTTCAAGGCTTTGTCTTCACTGCAAAAAAGGTGGGTGTGTTATAGTGAGTCAGGGCTCTCTCTCTGTAAAGACATCTTTTGGCAGTGGCAGATACCGACTCTTGTCTCCAACCACAGCCCCCGGGGTGCATTGCTCCACCTTGCTTCAAGGAGGAGCAATAAAAAAAGCCAAGTGCCCTTCTCAGGGTTGATGGGTCCCCGATTGAATGGTCTCCCTCCAGCTTTCCCCATGACTTCCTGATCCTGCTTGCTCTCCCTGGACAAACAGCTGAATGGCTGTGGCTGCAATTTTCCTTTCTATAATCTTAATTAAAGACCTTAGTGTACAATTTGAGGTCATCTCCAGGGCCAGGGGTCTGAGTCTGGTGTTACAGGAATAGTCTCAGCTCACCTGCACAAAAGCTGTAACATGCTTTAACCTGCAGCCCCACGGCTCTAGGAAAGGGGTAGAACCCTTCCCTGCATCTGGCGGTGATTTCTCTGACTTAGTTCCCCATGTCCTGTTGATCACTGTGGCCAGGGCTGTGTGCACAGTGCAGTTATACAGCAGCGTGACTGTGAATTGCTTTAAAGTGCTACCTAACTACAGTCCAGCATTTGAAATGACATTGAAAGAACTCTTTAGCCCACACAGTTATGAAGAAACCTTCCAAATGTGATATGAATAGCAGCCAGCTGCTGTCTGCCTGAATCTGGCAGTGCCCCGAGGTATGAAACTTTTCCCATTTACCAAACTGGGGCGTTAACACTGAAGTCTGACAACATACGCTTATTAACCGCTGTTCAGTTTAGCAATCAACTCACGCTGACATAGGTGCTTGCCTTTTTTGCGTGTAGTGAAAAATACTGGGGCGTTGGGGCAACTGATTGCTTACTGTCAAAGGCAGGGGGAAAGGAGGAGTTAGCCATGGTCTATGCTTAATATCACAACTGCATAAGTTAGAGTTGTGTGTATGGGGGGAAACATACCCTAGCAATGTGGACAAAACCCCTAGTGTAGACATAGCTTCTGGTGCCTTCGCTCATGGCTTTCGGTGACCTAGTGCAGGCTGCCAACAGAGCTATGCTGCTGTGGGCTCTGTAGTGTAGACACAGGCTTAGGCTGTCTCTACTCTATGGAGACTATATGCTGGCGTAGCAACACCAGTATAGCCCCGTGGTGTCGCTGTAGCCTATACTGCTGGGAAGGGGTGTTTCTAATGGGGTAGGAACACAGCCTTGCCAAGAGACATTAGTTACATGGACAGAAGCATTCTGCTATGTTGACAGCGGGGACTAGGTCACCATAGTGATGTCTGTCAGGGGCTGGGTTTTTCACACCCCTGCCTGCAGCTATGTTGACTTAACTTCACACCCCTGAGTACTGTAGCTATGTAGCCCCAACCCCTGCTGTCCATGCAGCTAGGTTAATGGAAGAGTGCTTCTGTCTACCTAGGTACTGCTACTCAGGGAGGTGGATTACCTACATCAACCGGAAAACCCCTCCCGTCGCTGGAGGAAGCATATCTGCTACAGCTCATACAGCCGTGCTTCTACCTGGCATCTCCCCTTGGCTAGCTTAGGAAGCCCCCTTTCTCCCAACCCCAGCTAGCTTTTGTGGATCACAGACTAAGGTGCCTAACTCAGACTTGGGACATCGTAGTGAGTTTTCTCGGCACATAGCTAGTGTGACACCTAACATCTAACTGCATGGGGGGCACTGAGGCCTAAAACATTTGCCGAAGGGCATCTGTGCCAGGGCTGGGAACTGACCGCAGCTGGCCTGCATCCTAAGCCTTGCCCTAACCACAGAACCATCTGTCCCCTGTACATTTGCATGCCATGTAGAATTCTTGCCTTGATTCTATTCCGCCAGCCCCCAGTGTAGAAGAGCATGAGGTTTTGGGAGGGTGGGGTGAAGGAGACTGACAGCTCTGCCTCCCCCATCCTCCCTTCTTCCTCTAAGAAAATGCAGGTGGTATTCGTCCAGCTCGGCAGGCACGGCGAGAAATACCTACAGGGTCGTTTTTGCCCAACTGAATTCGGTACCGGGTGATGAAATTGGGCTTTCCGGTCCCATCTGCCACCATCAGGAGTCCATTGAAGCACCAGTAAACAAGGCTTGGAACTAAGGCCGTGCCTGTGGTAGAAGGAGAGAGAGATGGGCAGAGATGGCTTGTCAGGATTCCTTCCCCACTCTGAACTCTGGGGTACAGATGTGGGGACCCGCATGAAAGACCCCTTAAGTTTATTCTTACCAGCTTAGGTTAAAACTTCCCCAAAGCCCAGATTCCTTTCTTGCCTTGGGATGGCTGCTGTCACCAAGTGATTTAACAAACAATCAGGGAAAGGACCACTTGGAGTCCTATTCCCCCAAACCTACACCCCCTTTCCTGGGGAAGGTTTGAACATATATCCTCACCAATTGGTTACAAAGGGACTACAGACTCAAACCCCTGGGTCTTAGAACAATGGAAAAATCAGTCAGGTTCTTAAAAAGAAGGATTTTATTTAAAGAGAAAAGGGTAAAAGAATCACCTCTGTAAACTTAGGCTGGTAGTTAACCTTCCAGAGTAGCAGAAAATTCAAAGAGCACAGAGGAACCCCCTCTAGCCTTAGTTTCAAAGTTACAACAAAACAGGGATAAATCTCCTTCTAGCAAAGGGAAAATTCACAAGTTGAGAAAACAAAGATAAACTAATATGCCTTGCCTGGCTGTTACTTTCAAGTTTGAAATGAGAGACTTGTTCAGAAAGATTTGGAGAACATGGATTGATGTCCGGTCCCTCTTTGTCCCAAGAGCGAACAGGCCACACAAACAAAGCACCCAAAACAAAACCTCTCCCCACCCAGATTTGAAAGTGTCTTTTGTCCCCATTTTTCAGAGGAACAGCCGTGTTAGTCTGTATTCGCAAAAAGAAAAGGAGTACTTGTGGCACCTTAGAGACTAACAAATTTATTTGAGCATGAGCTTTCGTGAGCTACATCTGATGAAGTGAGCTGTAGCTCACGAAAGCTCATGCTCAAATAAATTGGTTAGTCTCTAAGGTGCCACAAGTACTCCTTTTCTTTTTGTCCCCATTGGTTCCTTTGGTCAGGTGCCAATCAGGTTACTTGAGCTTCTTAACCCCTTACAGGTAAGGAAGAATTTAGGCTACCCCTATGGTTATGATACCGCTGAAAAAAGGGGAGCCTTTGTCCATCAGAAATGATTGATATTGCAGTGGTGCCTGGAGGACACGAACAGAGACCAGGGCCCTGGGGGCTAGGCACTGTCCAGAAATGAGTGTCTCCGGGCATAAGGTTTTCAGAGCAAAGACACAGCTCCTGAATGGGATAAAAGGGTAGAGTGGGGATGAGATTAGAATAATACAGGCCTGCGCTAGGGACAAGGCACCTTGCCCCCTGCCACCAAGTCGTTATCGCCAGGCTGTCGACGCTGCAGCCAGGTTTCCTCCTGTTGTAATACGGGTGCCACCCAGCTAGAATATTACTAAGGTGTCTAGCTTTACAATAAAGCCAGTTCTATCCTTTTGGTAATAACTACTCCAGTGAGACCTGGGGTGTAATTTCACTTTAGCCTAATGAGGGAGGTGGGAACCTTACATCAGTCCTGGATGGTTTGGCAGTTACAAATACTTGCAGTGGAAAGGGTGGTCCCAAAATGTTAGCTGGACCCTGATCATTGGGGAGGCATGGCATGGATTTGGCGGCAATGCACGCCATTGGTACACAGAGCTCTGGGAGAGCTGGAATCTGGCTTTCCTGCAGCCGAGCTTTGGCATTCAAAACAACTCACCTAGAAGGAAAATTGCCCACTGGTTTCCTCCAAGCAGGTGGAGAACTTTCTCCCATTGTGCCTGCCAGAAATTGCCCGAAGCCCCCCAGAACTTCTGCAAGTGCCTGGGGAGAAGGGCCCAAGAATTACACGCAGCGTTTAGCTTTTCATTGCAAAAATTACATCTGTCTTATCTCCCCACCCACTGAAATGTTGCTTCTCAAGCTATCAGGTGAGTGGTCTTACCAGGTGACAGAGTTCCTGAAGGCAGCAAACAGCAGCAGGCCAGTGCCCAGTATGAAGCCAGTTATCTTCATAGAGTCCCAGAGCTTCCCCGCCTGAGAGCAGGAAACAGAAGTGATTACACCTATGTCATGGAGTAGCCTGTGTTTTAAATCACAGGAGATCAAGGGATGATCCAGTCCTAGGATCCCTTGTTTTCTGTCACCAGCACTCTACAGAAGTGAGTAGAGCCAAGTTGTTATCCACCCTGTCCACAGATGCTAGGTGGGTCAGGATGAGACTTTCTGAATATATGTTACAGTCTATATCTGTATGGTAAAAGAAATACATGTTTAAACTGGATCCAGATAGCAATCAGTCTGTGACTTCCTCCCTTCTCTTGTGTAACAGGTCATTATGATGAACAGATAAAATAGCTCAAAACAGCAAAAAGAAAAGGAGAACTTGTGGCACCTTAGAGACTAACAAATTTATCTGAGCATAAGCTTTTGTGAGCTATGGCCCACTTCATTCATTGGGCTTGCATAATTAAATAACATTCGTTTCCCTAAAAGAAAAGGAGTACTTGTGGCACCTTAGAGACTAACCAATTTATTTGAGCATAAGCTTTCGTGAGCTACAGCTCACTTCATCGGATGCATACCGTGGAAACTGCAGCAGACTTTATATACACACAGAGAATATGAAACAATACCTCCTCCCACCCCACTGTCCTGATGGTAATAGCTTATCTAAAGTGATCATCAGGTTGGGCCATTTCCAGCACAAATCCAGGTTTTCTCACCCTCCACCCCCCACACACAAATTCACTCTCCTGCTGGTGATAGCCCATCCAAAGTGACAACTCTTTACACAATGTGCATGATAATCAAGGTGGGCCATTTCCAGCACAAATCCAGGTTTTCTCACACCCCCCTCACCCCCATACACACACAAACTCACTCTCCTGCTGGTAATAGCTCATCCAAACTGACCACTCTCCAAGTTTAAATCCAAGTTAAACCAGAACATCTGGGGGGGGGTAGGAAAAAACAAGGGGAAATAGGCTACCTTGCATAATGACTTAGCCATTCCCAGTCTCTATTTAAGCCTAAATTAATAGTATCCAATTTGCAAATGAATTCCAATTCAGCAGTTTCTCGCTGGAGTCTGGATTTGAAGTTTTTTTGTTTTAAGATAGCGACCTTCATGTCTGTGATTGCGTGACCAGAGAGATTGAAGTGTTCTCCGACTGGTTTATGAATGTTATAATTCTTGACATCTGATTTGTGTCCATTTATTCTTTTACGTAGAGACTGTCCAGTTTGACCAATGTACATGGCAGAGGGGCATTGCTGGCACATGATGGCATATATCACATTGGTGGATGTGCAGGTGAACGAGCCTCTGATAGTGTGGCTGATGTTATTAAACTCATGCTCAAATAAATTGGTTAGTCGCTAAGGTGCCACAAGTACTCCTTTTCTTTTTGCGAATACAGACTAACACAGCTGCTACTCTGAAACCTGTCATTAGTTTCCCTACTCATCTGGTCCTGTGGCATTGCTAAGAGACAGGCAACAACAAGAGAAGTTTAATCCCTTACAACAGGATCAATGCAGATATGTGGTGTAAGGTAACAACCCCGAGTCCCCCTTCCTTAGCAGCCTTCAGTGCAATGCGCCTGGCTGTCGCTCCAACAGAAATAGACAACATCAGCCTCTCTAATGCTCCTGCTCCAGGATGCTTAGGAAATGATTAGCTGGAACTGGATAGAATTTAGGTCATTTGCACTGAAGACTCCCAAGTGAAGTGGTGTTAGCCCTTTCGGTCCAAGGGGCTAGTCAAAGTTTGAGGCCTTGTAGGTGGTTGCGGCTGGGAGTAGAAATTGATGATTGCACCTGGTATTTTCTTTGACACAATCTTGTTTATTTGCTTGGAACAACACCCCCTCCAATAACTGTTCAGTTTAGAGCTGAGGCATAGAAAGTGTGTGATTTGCCCAGGTTATACTGCAAGCCCGGGACTGATCCACAAACGTAACCTTTCGTGTATAACTCCTAGTCCTGGGCTTCAGTCACAGAGATTCAGCAATTTGTGTATTCCTGAGGTTCCTTCCAACCCTGATATTCTATGATTTTATATCTGTATTAAGAGGCCCTTTGACTAGAAAGGGCCTTGTTTAATGGCTGTCCCTTTCTCACGCATATCAAAGGAGACATCAATTAAATTTAACAGAACCACTCCACAGTACGAGCGTAGAGCGGCGTCAGCTACGGAATCTATGAAGCTGCCGTTGTGGGAAAGATTTCTTTGTTCATCTAATCCATCTCCGCGCCAGGTTATTCCTTCCTCTAAGTTCTCTAGTGCTTTGCCCTGTCCAGGGGTAAGTGACAGAAGCCACAGGGCATCTGCCAGGGCAGAGACTATTCACTTAGCATCACCAGGAGCCAATCAGGAAGCTCCCTGGCACTTGGCCACCATATAACATTTGAGACAACAGCAGCTTTGAGTCTTTACCTGCTTCTGCCGTGAGCCCCCCGTGGAACGTGCAGCATCTCCCTTCATCTAAAATAATAAATGATGCGAGTGAGTGAATGGGGAGCTGAAAAGAAAAAGGGGAGGGGGAGGAAAAGAGGATGGGAAAGCAGCCCCCAAGGAAGTTTTCACATGTTAGGATACAGCTGTCTCCCGGTGGCCTGACTGGTCTGGAATGTGCTGTGTTCAATGGCTGTCCCAGGCCTTCAGGACAAAACAATCTGGTACAGCAGAGTAAGTCAGGGGGGCGAGGGATTAAAATGATAGATCACCCTGTGCCCTTACATTACAGCCCCTAAGGACATGTGCACCAAACACTGGTAACATGATAAGGGAGATTTTCACCTTTAGGTCACTGCTTCAGATCCAGCCCAGGGGGCAATAACTGAAAATCGTTACTATCTGCTGGCTCTTCAAATACAAGCTAAGCAGGTGTCAGCATCATAACCAGCCTGGCCCATGGCTCTAACCAGGCCCCTTGCTGACAGGCTCAGCAGAGAGGCCAAGGATTGAATCAAGAGAGAGAGCCTGAACTACCTTGCACTCCTAGAGGTCAGGTGCTAGCGGGAGGAACCTTGTACTTTTGGTGCACGTGCAGTGTCTACAGCAGGGCTAAGCTGGGGAGTTTTCATTTCCTAGATGGCCAACCTTTCCCAGCAACAAATTTGCTTAACAAAATAGTCCTTACGATTAATCTCACCTCAGCTTCACTGAATCTTCTTCAATGTTCAAATAAAAGACAATATAACACCCGGTACATAGACACCATGAGCCAGATTCTGCCCTTGGTTAAACCCTGGCCACCCCAGGGATATTAATGGGATTGCATGGCTGGAACAAAGGGCAGAATTTGAGCTCCTTGTGCTTTTAGAACTAAAGCAATGTAGCCAAGAAAAAGGCCTTATTTTTTACTAGGTCTTCTGGTGTACCCTCCAATCTTTACTGTGGTAGAACCCCACTGCAGCCAAGTCCATGGGAGTTTTGCTGGACCTGCAAGATTAGGGTCTGAGTGCACAGTAAACTCTCTAAACTGCATTCTCCAGAATACCAACAGAAGCCCCTAACAAAGAAAGAACAGCATAGCTTTGTCTGTTTATGAGGCAAGAACAGCCAGTGCATCAGTAAAAGATGCAACGCAAGGGTTAGTCTGCGTTCAGGGCCCAGCTGAAGTCACTGGTTTAGTACAGAGGGTTCTGTAGAGTTCCTCAGCTCAATGCTGTTGTTCCTGGATCTGGCCATCCAAGGCCCATTAGCATAAGCTGGAGAAATGCCCACACCCCCGAGATCCGCAAGGAGAGCTCTTAAGAGGGGAGTTCAACTGGAATGGACTGTGACACGCTGACTCCTTTATGGTAGGAGGAAACAGGCTATATTACACAGAGCACAAAGTGCTGACAAAATAAATAATTCAGAAGGTGATGGTGCATTACCTTTATGATGCTAATATTCCCTCTGGTGGGAGCTGCTTTTGTAGAGTTTCCTGGCAAAGGACCACACTGCCAACAAGCACAAAAATCAACCAGTTAGCTTGGAGACAACATTTCTGTTTTGAAATTGTAAAACTTTAATGCCCTTTTTTTTTGCTCCCCCTTAAAGCTTGTTAGTGTTTCAGCTCTGAAGGTTTATAGTCCAAAATCAGACCCACTTCTCTGTCTGGGGTGTTATTTACCGACAGGTTAAAAAGGGAAGGTCTGATTCTCAGAGCTCCTGCATGCCCACAGCTCCTAATGACTTCAGCGGCAGCTACAGGCACTCAGCAGCACTGAAATCCGGCCCTAAATGACTTGCCCAGTGACTGTGGTGGGGGTGGGACGAGAATCCAGCAATTCTACCTCTCCGCCTCTTAGCTGGAGCACAAGGGCATGAGCTAGCTGTGCTCAGTGTTAACCGTGGGGAACCAGCCTTTTCTAAACTCAGAATTGCAAATGCATTGAGCTAGCTCTGACGCGCTGACCCAAAAGAGCTATTGAAAGATGCATCATAAGAGGAAGCTGTTTAGATTTTAAACTAGTGTCTTCATCCCGTTTGCTAGCCTCTTCCTCCTGAATTCAAACTCCCCACTCCCTCCTGGGCCATGGGACGCTATTCTTTCCAATCTGTAAAATCTTCAACATGCTGTTTGTTTCCAACCTGGCAGCCTAGTTTGCTAGCTAGGGCTCTTCTGAAAAAAGGAAATGACTTTTGATTCTAATGGTTCTGATCAACACACTAAATGGTTGGTATTTCAGACTACCAAGCAGAAGAAAAAACTTTTTCACTAGGAGGGTGGTGAAACACTGGAATGCGTTACCTAGGGAGGTGGTGGAATCTCCTTCCTTAGAAGTTTTTAAGGTCAGGCTTGACAAAGCCCTGGCTGGGATGATTTAGTTGGGGATCGGTCCTGCTTTGAGCAGGGGGTTGGACTAGATGACCTGCTGAGGTCCCTTCCAATCCTGATATCCTATGATTCTATGATCCTGCTGTCTTGAGAATAACAAGTGTAAATATCTTTGTCGCACGATCAAATTATCTTATTTTGCAAAACGCCTTTTGCCCTCTGTAATGTACTTATCAAGCCACGTTGTGCTGTTATGCACCATCCAAATACAGCCCCATTATCTCTGTAATGTTATCTATCTGTACAGCTGCACGCACTGGCCTTAGTGAAACAGCTTGTACAATAAATAGCTTATGCTTAAAAAGCAATTTCTTTCTGACACTTCACTTCATCTCAATGCTGTTCATACAGGAAAATGGTCAAAACCCAAACCCTTTCGAAATGGATGCTCCATGAAGAACATATTAACTGAAACCGTTTTACTAGGACAGTATAGTATTAGCCCAATGGCCTTTTGTGACTGAGTAAAGTCTTTCCTGAGGATTGCTCAGATGCTACAGGGATGGACAATTTTATAAGGTCCTAGATAGCTAGGTGTATAAAAGGGGGAGCCTCACTGCTCTGACCTGACGCACAACAGCCTGCTTGGTAGCTGGTGCTTGAGAACATGTCTTCTATATTGATCCAGTGGCTTAAATGCCCCCGAAACTGTGTCTCCAACAAGTCGGAAAGCCAGGAAGATTGCAAGTTGGCTTTGAGTCCTTAAGAGGAGGCAGCAGGATTGCCCAACATCATTTCATCTCTTGAGCTTTGGGGGAACTGTTAAAAGAACCCCTGGTATGCCTCACGGCCGGGTCCCCTCCTGCCCTGTAATCAAAGTGCAGCATTCCTCTTTGACTTAAGGGTACTGCGAGATCCAGTATTACATTTAAAGGCAAAAGCCAAATTTAGCGAGATCCTGTTCTGCTCCAGCACCATACAACACAGTATTTTTGCTGAGATGGCCCAGGACGCACCTACTAAACAGTGACGTATGCCACTGAGCTGGGGCTATTCCACTAAACAGAGAAATAATGACGCCACCGGCCGCTGAATTTGCACTAGCATATAAACCAGGCAGTAGTCAATCAAACAAACATTAGCCCTCTCAACGGGCTGCAGTCATAGCAGAGTCTGATGTGAAATGAGACGCCAGAACTGCCGCTGGTTTATTTTTTTAAATCCGCCTTTTAAAGTAATTTTTACAAAGCGTTTGAGACTGTTATTAAAACCAAGCCAATCCCAGCCAGCAGCACCAAGTCCTCAACCCCTGAAGTAAAATACTGGCACAGCCAGGGCTGAAATTCAGCTAGAGCTGTCTGGAGCAGAGCTCCAGTAAATATTTTCAGACATGCAGAGCAGAAGCCATCATGCCCCCTCCGCATGGGGCTAAAGCTCAAGACCCGCTCCTTGCAGCAGATGCCGCCAGCCCCACCATCCTGCCATGGGGCAGAAGCCCTGAGCTCCCGCCCACACAGGCTTTTAGGCAGAGCATGCAGGGGGAGGCCCTCTGGGAAATATACTATGAGAATTTAAGCCACAGGCATGTCTAATGATCACATGTCAAACTTAAAAAAAAAGTCTATAAAACGTTCAATAATCTGAATAATTATTCCTGCAAAGTGGGTCTGGATTTCTACAACAGCCATTTATGGACCAACAAGTCCATATTCACAGAATTTACCATTCCAGCCATTGAAAGAGGCCCAGGCATCCAATTTATGTATTAAAGGTGATACTATGGTGTGATTCTTTGCAGGCACATGGATACCCAGGAGAATTTCCTGGCCTGGAATTGCAGCAGGTCTTTTGGCAGCAGAATGACGTGCTTGGCTTTGCCTGCTAGTCTGTGCTTTAGATTCTCATACTGCACCACCTCTGGGGCATCTGAGCACCTGCTTGCCCACAGCAGCCCCCTAAGTCTCTGCTCACAACCATTTTGGAACACATCTCGCTTCCACTCCTCTTGCACTGGCTGTGGAAGGAAGCAAACAAAGAGAGAAAAGTGGGTCCCCCTCAATGGGGCGGGGGAATGAGAAGGGACAGCCACGCCCCCAAATGATAGGCCTCTAAGGGTCAGCCAGACTCAGATGTGCAGTTCAAGGGCCCAGCCCTGATCAGCAGCTTAACTTCATTTTGCAAGACCTTGCAAAGAACACCACAGACGGCAAAGGGCAGCTGCTGTTAGTCAGCTGAGCTCAGCAGATACTGCAACACGGGTTAGCCAAATCCAAACCCACTGCAGTGAAACCCACAGCAAACTGAAGCCAAGACTTAAATACACTGCACATTTCCTGAGCTCAACAGAGTGCACGGAGACAGCTCCTAGCCCCTCCAGAGCTGGCTAGCTTTCTTCTCACGCCATACACACAGTTTTGTTCCGGTCTTCATACGCCACGGGCTGGCACTGCCATAGCAAAAAGCATCTCCGGGGGGCGGGGGCGCTTCCATGAGGCACTCTTTAGTTGAAAGCTAATCCCCATGTTCGTGATAAGTGTTAGCAAGGAGACCGTTGTGGAAGTGACAGCAGCTGCGCCAGAGGGAAATTCTTTAGTAAATTTCCCCAGTGCAGATATTGCCAGAGGCAGGTACCAATGTCCCCACACCAGCCTCGCATATCACAGCTCCTCCCACCTGCTCTCGGGGGCTAGACTCAGGTGAGACCCAAGACAAGAAATAAGTAGGCCAGGAAGTAACTCCATGAGATTCATTAGGCAGGACATTCCTAGCTCCTAAGTCCCATGAGGCTGGATTTGCAACACCAATACAAAAGTGAGCGCAAATCAGGTTGGGGAGACAGCGGGACCAGTCTGTTTGGGCGGAAAGCGAAGCAGAGAGGCATCGGGTCTAGCAAAACAGGATCAGCTCTCCTCATCTCTGTGTGCAACTTACATCCATCGGATGGCAGGGTAGGTGGGCTGGGGACAGAGAAGTCAGTGCTTGGAGGGGCTGGAGGAGCTAGTGTGCATACGGCATCAGTTATGGGCAACGGGGCATGTGTTCTTCACTAAACATATCCTGCCCCGCCCGCTGCATCTGAGCCTCATTCCCTCCTGGGCACAGCCCCCCTGTGTCATGTCTGCGCAGCATAAGGAAAAAGCTGGGGACTGGGCTCGCAGAGCTGCAGCCACTCCTGCAGCTGGAGGCGGCCATGGCAAAGAAGAGGGGGTGGGGGTCCCATCCCTCTTTTGGACTATCAGACAGACATGCAGGTGCCAGCCCAGGGAAAGGGCCGCTCCCAGGGAGCCCAAGACAGAATGTATCATCCTTATTTCATTTAGCAGAAGCTTTGCAGAGCCCAGGTGGCAGTGCACCAAGGGCGGCCTGGGAACTGCCTTGATGTGGAAAGGCGCTCCTGGAAAGTCAATGCTGTGCATTTAATACTCTTACATGCTGGGCTAAAGGATCAGACTCCCCTCCCAGCCAGTGACACCGATGGCTCAGCCAGGGAGACCAGATGTCTCTATCCAGCAGAACTGGCTCTCTTAACCCAATAGCCAACTCTCCAGTTGTTGAGGCTCCCTCCCATCGGCAGGGCACGCGCTGCTGCTCTCCCCAGGACACCCTTCAGGAGTGGATTCTTGGCATTCCCATCTCCAGATTCAAACCGGCTTGTGCCTTTTCTCCCATCATACCCACCCACATTCACAACAGCACTGCCCCTAACTGCAGACTATGTTACTCTTGCCTAGTCTCTGGGCATAGACCCAACACTGAAATCACGCCAGGCAAAAAGAGATGCCCATCTGGCTCTGGATGTCTGGTCACCCCAACTGCAATGCCAAGTTCTGGTGTACAGGGAGTAGCCCTCAACCACTGATTAATTCAGGCAGACACTCATGACAGCTGGACTCAGCCCCTTATCTTCGCAGACAGTTGGCTTTTCTTCCCTGTACATCTGTCAAACCATCTTGAACACAGTGACCTATGCTCAGCCCTGGAGAGAGTCCATGTCTTTCCCAGCAAGGACGATCTCTGGTATGTATTTATGTGGTGGTTTGAGGGCCTCCATCAGGTGGGTGTTGTGATGCATCAGCTTGTTCCCCAGCTTGCCCTTCATGTACCCCATGATCTCAGCGAGCTGGGCAGTCAGGGTATAGCTCTGCAGACAAGCTGCAAGATTGTCCATCACGGATATCCCTGATTCCATCCAGAAGATCACAAGGAAATACTAGATGATGTTCTTCACACAGTGCATCTGGATCATGCTCCCCCTGGCACTTAGCCTTGCTGTGCTAGCTCTAAAATTGCTGCTTCCTCTTGGGGTTGCCAGCTGGCGCCAGAGTGATGCTCACTTCCCCAGGTGGGGAAGAGCTGGGCAGCCAGGAAGCTGTGGCAGGCCAGACACAGGCTCAGTGACACCGGCCAGCAAAACTTTTAAAAGCTATAGCATCAGTGACGCTTTTTCAAAAACTTATTTTATCAGTTTGATCCCCGCCCCTCCACCCCAACTTACTGTTACCAACCTAGGTTCCAACCTGAGGTCGAACAGCTGCCCTCTTCTAATTACACTGAGCCTGCAATTCAGCCCTCTTTGCAGACACCAACTGGAGACCCAGCTGCTGCTGGCAGGTGCAGGAGCTGAATAATTGGGCATGTCTGTGGCAATGGATTCACTCCGTAACACACCTCCTTTCCCTTAGCCCTCCTCTCCTGATCCCTCTGGCATCAGCACAGGCTGAGAGTCAGCTGCTGGAACAATCATCTCACCTGCGAAAAGACGATGACTATCTGTGACACCACAGGATGCAGCTATACACTGGCCACCTTGGGGAACCACATACCTTAAAAGGTGCTTAGTAGACACCCTCTCTCTAAGGGTAGACACAGAGCTAGCTAACGTGCTTCTGGTGCTGCTATGTGCCAGGCACTGTCCAAACAGAACGACAGACGCAGTCCCCACTCTGAAAAGCCTAAAATATTTTTTTTTAAATAAATGCATTCATAGAACTAACAACTGGCTGTAAGTCTCTTAATGGAGTTGCCATCCCTAGAGTGTCCATCAAGTACCTCTAAACCACTGTGCCCCAAGGTGCTGGTTGCTCCCTCTTTGCTCACCTCCTGCTGGCTGCAGCCTAGAAGGGGGCCCTGGGTCGCTGGCCAGAGCCCAATCCACAACTCAGTTCTCTCTGCCCTTCACCACTGCTGTCGGTCCCTTTATCACATCCTCAGGCAAAGGAAGAGGGAGGTGTGTCTATAAGTGAGCAGCTGATTGTCTCCTCCCAGGCACGTCATGTGAAGCCAGCATTAGGTCATTACTGGTGCTGGCAACTGTTACACCCTTTTGGTCAGACAGTTTAAAGAGAAAGAGAGAAACAGTGTGTGCGTATGACCGAAAGAGAGAGAGAGAAAGACTGTATGTGTGTGATTGAGAGGAGCACATTCTTCAAGGAGTTTATTTTTGCTATAAAAGTAATTTAGCAACATCATTAAAAATCTTTTCACTTTTGTTTTCATTAGTTACACATAAATAAGTTTGCAGATTATGCATATTGCCCTCACCCAGTGCCCTAAGCACAAATATTTAAAACCAGTGCAATTCAAGAGGTCAAAAGTGTATTTACTGGGACCAGGGAGAGTTATTGGGCAACGCTGCTTAAGTCCTTGGCCCTCTGTCTTGGCCCCCAAGTCTGACTTGTAGGGCAGGGATGGCATCCCTAGCCTCTGTTTGCCAGAAGCTGGGAATGAGTGACAAGGATGGATCAGTTAATGATTACCTGTTCTGTTCATTCCCTCTGGGGCACCTGGCATTGGCCACTGTCAGAAGACAGGACACTGGGCTAGATGGACCTTTGGTCTGACCCAGTATGGCTGTTTTTATGTTCTTATGACTGTTCGCTCACATTGCATAAGTGGGACTAGAAAACAATGACTTAAAAGGGTTATAGCATATCGGTCTTATCTATGTAGAACAGATTAAATTGGCATTCCCTCGTTCTTAACAATAGTATTTACACATAGTGAAGTCTGTAGTGTACATGAGAGCACTGGGTACTGCAGGTCTGGTAAGAAGTCACTTGTGGCAGCCCTCACTTTTAGTATGCAGGTGTGGTCCCAGAAAATGCGACTTATTCCAGTAGATAGTGTGGCAGCTGATCCAAGCTCTAGGAGAGGTGCTGTTATCCATCACCACTTTCTGGCTTTACTATATGAGGAAGAAACAGACACACCACAACACACGTCCACTTAGCCCTGCCAGGTCTGCAAGGAAGTAAACAGCCTCTCGGTTAATGATGGCTAGAGCTCAGAGAGATCCACAAGTATGAGAATCACAAATGTCCCATAGTCTGTGGCTAATACCTGGTACTCATAACCGCACAGAACTTTTCACCAAGCCATGTTCGGGGGGGTGAGGAGGGGCATGACACCTCTTCAAACTCCATTCCCCCTAGAGGGCCACTTGGTACCTCAGTCACTTGCTGTGACTTTATTTCAGCGCTAAACTGCTGTAACATTTCAAAAACATTTTCGACTGACTGACACTAACTTCTCCATGGTGGGACAGGGCTCTTTCCTTTTTGTTGTTTTCTGTAGCCTCGTAGACTCTAGGAGAAGTGATGCTGCATTTCACAAGCAGAAGCACAGCACAGAGAATGGAAATACACAGCCTGAGTGAGAACAGAGTCGCTGAGCTGAGCTTCATTATGACTGGTTCTTGTAGTGGGATGGTTATCCTGCATGCATGAAAAAGTAGGTGAAAGGCCATTGGAATCTCACCAAATTCCAGACTCTGGTGTTTTCCTTTAACTGTCACTTAAAGAAGAAATTGTTTTTGAATGAATCACTCTCCCAACAGAGGACTGGATAGTACAGGGGGTTGGTAATGGGCAAGATAAAGACTTTTCACTTTCTAAGTTGCTAGTTTGAATCCAATCCAGGCTGACAATAACCAAAAGCATCTCCTATTTCTTAGCTATTCAGTGTCCCATCTGAAATTAGTTTGGTTCCCAGTGGACAGGTATCCAAATCACAAAAAACTGCCATTGCTACTGACAAACTTTGGACCCATGTAGGAAACTATTTGCATGAAAAGATTGGCTGTTTTATGTCCTTGCAATGGTTTCATACAGCCATACATACACTCAGTACTGCTTGTGACGGTTCTGTTTTGGCAGGGCCAATTCCTGCGGGAATTCTGTGCCATTGCGTATGCACAGAATTCATGTGCCCTGCAGATTTTTTTTCTCTGCAGAAAATACATTCTACTGGAGAGGTGCTGCAATTATGCCTTTCACCCACCAGGGATTGCTGTGGTGCCAGAACACAGAAGGCAGCCAGCTCACAGGCCAGAGCAGCCAACCATGGATAGGGAGGACAGTGTGTTCTTCACAGCACCTTGCCCATGGGGCCAGGGGAGGAGGCACAGGATATGGGGTGTGGGGGGGGAATAGACAGAACAGGGCACACAGGGCTGCTAGGAGGGGGTCACATAGACTGGGGTTCAAAAGAGCTAGTGGGGGGACACACTGGGATGATGGCTGAATGGGAGTGGGGATGCAGTGCCACTTGGGGACTGGGGGGGGTGGCTAAGTAGGGGTGTAGGGACACATGGGGATGGGGGGATACAGGGACACATGGGGACAGGGGCAGATGTCTCAGATTGAATGGGAGAGGCTAGGAGTCAGCCAGGGTCTGCATGGGAGAGGCTCTCCAACTCCCTAACAATCCCCCCACCCCAAAAAAAAACCTGTGCCAGACTTCTCCCACCCACACCCAGGGTCCTTCCCAGCAATTACTTCCCTCTCCCTCAGTACCCCTGACTCCCCCAAGCCTTTGCACGGCTTCTGAGGGGTGAAGGATATAAAGTTCTGTATTGTAGTTCAAATGAATTATTACTCAAAGTTCTGTATTAATATGCCTAATAAGGAATCTATTTGTCAAAAAACATTTTCTGAATCTTTTTTTTTTTTTGGTCTGTATTGTTACAGACATACTCGCTGACAGGTATTTTGAAATAAATTACCAAAATAATTGAAACTGGTGTAATCATACTATGTTATTTTGACAAATAAAATATACAGAATTTTAAAATATCATGTGCAGAATTCTTACTTTTTTGACACAGAATTCCCCCAGGAGTACATAGTGCATGTAATGTATAACTCATGCAATTCAAAGTCTATATGCTGCAGCTGAGAAAGCAAAAAGGGAATGAAAAACAACTAATCTGGAAGATAAGGTTTGAATCCCTAACAACCTCAAAGATCAAGTTCAATAAACACTGAGTTAGAAAAACTCCATTTCTTTGCAAGAGATAGACACCATGAGAATATGATGACATGGAAGAGGTCGCTTGCTGGAAGGGGATAGTTAAATAAATTACTTTCATAATGCTTGAAGAGATATCTGTATGAAGGGGTCAACGTTAGGACTGGGATATTGAAATAAAACTGACATGAAAGGAAACAAATTCCAGAAACTTGTCCAAGTAACAGAGTAGCAGCTGTGTTAGTCTGTATCCGCAAAAAGAAAAGGAGGACTTGTGGCACCTTAGAGACTAACAAATTTATTTGAGCATAAGCTTTCGTGAGCTACAGCTCACAGTGTAGTTCACGAAAGCTTATGCTCAAATAAATTTGTTAGTCTCTAAGGTGCCACAAGTCCTCCTTTTCTTTTTGTCCAAGTAAGGCACTGATCGGAGATTCAGTGGGAGAAAAGAAGCCACCTAACCCTGAATTGTGGGAAGAGAACAGCAACTGCTGTCATGTTTTGTAACAACTATGGGACCCATCGATCCTGTCATTCAAGGGCCTCTGCTCCTTCAGTAAAGCCAGACGCAGAGAGGCAGGTATCTGCTTTGGAGACAGACTCAAGCGTAATCCAGTTTAGAGCAGCAAAACCAGAGGCAAAATGGAGAGCACAGTCCTCTCGGACAGGAATTATGCTTTGGCAGCTGGATCTGGAGGGGACTTTTGTCTGCTGCTCACCTGTTTCATGAGAACAAGATCAGAGGCCTAAACTGTATAAAGGAGTTAATCAGAGATTCACGGGGGTGTTTGTTCCGAGTTAAAAACTTGTGACCACAGAAAATCCCCGTGGCAAGTTTTGAAAGACGGATCACCTGCGAGAGCCCTTACAGGTGCTCTCTGGTAAGCTGCTTATGTGTGTATATTCTTATTTCAGTATGTTTTCAGCATGATACTTTTCACCTTAGGAATAAATGTACTTCCTTAGAGGAACATCTACATGGACGTTTTGGCATAAGCCCAGGTGAGCTGACCTTGGCTCTTGAGACTCGCTACCCATGAGGGTTTTTTCCTGTACAGACATCCCCTGGCTTGCTTAGGAATTGAGTGTAGACAGGGCACTGCGCAGCCTGGACACCCATCAGGACGGAGAGCGACAAGGGTCTGTGCCCAAGAGAGGTGATGGCTGCGAGCTGGGAGCATAGCGTGGATACCCTCATGTGCTGCCATTGCCCCAAGGGCCCCAGCTAACATCCAGAGGAAGGGGAGAACTGGGTCCTGTCACCCCCAGAGCCCCAGCTGGGAGCTAACAATGTTGAGAGTCTTTAAGAAAGGGATAGATAAGACAGAAAATATCATATTGCCTCTATATAAATCCATGGTACACCCATACCTTGAATACCGTGTGCAAATGTGGTCACCTCATCTCAAAAAAGATATACTGGAATTGGAAAAGGGCAACAAAAATGATGAGGGGTATGGAATGGCTTCCGTATGAGGAGAAACTAATAAGACTGGGACTTTTCAGCTTGGAGAAGAGATGACTCAGGGGGATATGACAGAGGTCTATAAAATCACAACCTGTGTAGAGAAAGTAAATAAGGAAGCCTTATTTACTCCCCATAACATAAGAAATAGGGGGTCACGCAATGAAATTAATAGGCAGCAGGTTTAAAACAAAGAAAAGGAAGTATTTATTCACACAGTGCACAGTCAACCTGTGGAACTCCTTGCCAGAGGATGTGGTGAAGGCCAAGACTATAACAGGGCTCAAAAAAGAACTAGATAAGTTCATGGAGGACAAGTCCACCCGTGGCTGTTAGCCAGGATGAGCAGGGAGGGTGTCCCTAGACTCTGTTTGCCAGAAGCTGGGACTGGGCGACAGGGGACGGATCGCTGGGTGATGCCCTGCTCTGTTCCTTCTCTCTGGGGCTCCTGGCACTGGCCTCTGTCGGCAGACAGGACACTGGGCTCGATGGCCCCTTGGTGTGACCCCGCAGGGCTGTTCCTATGTTCTTCACAGGGCATGGGGTCCCCAGGACCCCGGCTGGAAGCTGCGGGGAGTGGGCCCTGTGGCCCCCCCCAGGGGTCCACCTACCTGGGATCCGGCCCCCTAGCCTCCCTCCAGGCCGGGCCGCCCACTCGCTGTGGCGACGGCAGCAGCGCGCGCCCCCCAAGCGTTTGGCTGTAGGCGCCACCCTGCTCTGCCCCACCCCGAGCGCTGAGCAGGAGCCCGGAGCCACTGAGGAAAGCAACGGCCGGAAGCTGCCGTGGCCCTTTTCCCCCACCGTTGCGCATGCGCCCTCCGAACAAGACGCTCTGCTCCCCGCCACGCCCTTGCGCACGCGCATTCGGGCAGCCTATTGCCGCCCTACCTAATCGCTTGACCAAGCTCGCGCCGCCGTTGGAACGAGCTGCGCGCGCGGGCGGTTGGGCGGCGTGCCCCCTTCCCCGACAGAGCCTCAACTCTCGCGAGAAATTCTGGCGCTGGCGCAGCTGCGCAGGCGAGGTCCGGCCGCCCGCCAGCCCGCCTCGGGACGCGGCGGGGGGAAGGGAGGGGAAGGAGCAGACAAGCCACGGCCGAGTGAGCGGCTAGAGCGGCCGGCGGGAAGTGGCGGCTCAGGGCCCAGCTTCCCTTCCCCAGCCCGCGCTCGCTCCCTGCCTGTGCGCCTGTGAGGAGACGGCCCTGGCGGAGAGAGCAGGTGCCGTGCGGGGAGGCCCCGTTAGACGCTCTCTGAGGGGAGCTGAGCGGGGAGAGGGACGGAGGGGGAGGGGAAGAAGAGGCGGGGCTGGGGAAGAGGGGGGGGGGCTGCCAGGGTGAAAGGGGTTGGGTGGGGAGCAGAGCCCCCCCACCCGTTGCCCCCCGTGGCTAGCGATGGGTGCTGTCAGGGGGGGTGACGGGAGCCTCTCGATTATTTTTGTGCCTTTTTATTTCCGTTGTGAGAAGTGTAACCTCCTCTCTTGGAAGGAACGTGGGAGGTTACTGGGGGCTATTTCGCTGCCCTCCCGTGGCCTGATTTAGCCCCCCACCCCCCTTCTTAAAGGGGATTTACATGCCCCTCCACGAGACAGTCCCAGGCAAAGAGCGTCTCCTGCGTGCTGCTAGATCGTTTGGTGGAGGCCTCGTCCCAGAGCACAAGGGTGCCTGCCCTCTTCTCGGGAACAGTAAACACGGTGTTTCTGACTGGTGGCAGATTGTGCTGGAAGCAGTAGGTGCAAACTTCCTCTTCGGCTGTGTACCCCATTCCTGAGCTGCCCCCTA